AATTCCATGGGGCCATGGAAAATGGCCATGAACATCATGGGAAAATCGTGATTTATCATGGGATAAATATATGAGAAATAGAGGTTTAGTGGGATATGAATGAGATATTTACCATCTGGCAATCAAACATGGTGTGCTGGGTCCAAAAAATCCGCATTTGTAAATGATGTTGTTTCGGCGAAGGAAACCTCCATTGAGTTCGGGGATTTCCCAGTTAGCCATGTTTGATTTAACAGTGGGTAAATCAGAAGTGCTGGGCCCCAAAATCAAGGGGTGATTACTTATACATTGCCCAAGAATGGATGGTTATGCAGTGAGGGTCACCTTCTGGAGTCACATGGGTATAGTTGGTACCCTCTGGTAATTTAACATAGCTATTGAAAATCACCATTTTCAATGGGTAAATCCACTATAAATGGCCGTTATCAATAGCTATGTTAAATTACCAGAGGGTACTGATAATGATCAATATGGTTTGGGTCAACCATTCCACAGCACCATGAGTTTTTCAGGAAGTGTTCAGGCTGTTTCTAGAGACTTGATCATTGGCTCGATGGTTTCTCTTCGTTTTCCTTCCATTCTGTGCCTACCTCGAATTTCCACATGTTTTGCCATGTATTTTTTGGGAATTCACCATACGACCATGACAACAACCAACTACAAAAAAAAACAATTCAACAAGAAAACGCATGTGAATTCCAGTAAACATTGAATGTCAGATAATCAATTGCCATTTCAGGAACCTAAATTGGAGGTACCTACCATATATAAGGCCTATATAATGTCAGTAAATTTCGCACCACATCAAACTGGGACGATCCATTTGTCGCAGGCGGTTTTCCAGGCTTTGCGCCGGCAGTGTGCTTTGCCTCAATGATCAGCGCAGTTTTCGTCCAGCTCAGCCTGGACGAGAGCCATGACGAGCCCTTGAAATGGAAGGAGTTTCACCAGAATGGCGGATCAATAGCTATGTACCAGCTATTTTACAGGGGTGATCTCGACTGATGGCAAGCGCCGTTGTTGGATCCTGCCGACGGAAAGTCGTTTTGGTTCTTAATTTTTGTTGGTGAACTACCCGATTGTTGGCCGTGTTTTTTTTGTTTTTTCCAATCGTTCCCGGTAAGACTTTGGATACTTTGGTTGTCTCTAACATGAAAACACATGAATTTCAAACCATAGATCTCGAACTTTTGACGCTTCAAGACCATGGACTTTTCATCGAATTTGGTTTGCCAAACCTCCCCTTTTTTCGGTCCAAAAAACAGAGGCCAGCTGCGCCACGCTTGCCATTGTTGCTACCTGGAGGCGGTCTGACTTTCGATGGAGATAGATAGCTGGTACGAGTCGATGGTACATTACTCTCATTTGGAATGATGTTATGATAAACTTCCTGGGAAACCTGGCCTAATATGGCCTATAGTCATGTCATCATGACATGCTAATGACATGCTAATGTCAATTAATGTCAATTAATGTCATGATGAGTGGAAGAGAGAATTTTGGGTGCAACACGGGTTTGTACCTGCAAAATCAGTGGTTTCAATATCTTTCAATTCTCATTTTCCGTATGAACATGGCATTTTTCAAGGGGAGGCTGGGAAAGAAACCCATTTCTGGGCAAAGGTACTTGGGCATGGGTCAAGTCGTCGTGTAAATGCACATGGGGTAGCTTTCATTGGTAGTGCCACGCCACGCATCTCTTGTCTAGTGAAACATCACGTTTCTTCAATCTTATAAGATTAGAGAGCAACATGGGGATGGGTCAAAACCCTGGTACCTCGTGAACCCCAAAATAGCTGGTAAATGGATGTTCATCACACTAAAATGTATCTATAGGTATTGACCCATACCCACATCAGCTTAAGTTTGATTTTTTGAAATGTCGGCTGATTTGTTGCTGATTTGAAGCATCGGCTGATTTGTTTCAGAAAAGCGTAACACATTCATTTTTCGGCCAAAGAAGTACAGTTTGAAGGTGACTTTGGCATTCACCCAGGATCCATGGAAATCACCTTCTTTCATAGCTGGTTGGTGGTTTCAAACATTTTTTATTTTCCATAATATATGGGATAATCCTTCCCATTGACTCATATTTTTCAAGATGCTTAAAACCACCAACCAGATAGATGTGTGGCTGTTTGCAGACATCTGTTCCTGGTCGAGAAAAAGTGGCATTTCACGTTGCTCCTCCGGTTATACACTGCTTTCCGGAGTGTGACATGTTGACCCAGCAGCCGGCACGCAACCCATCTACTGATGATTGATGTTGACATCTTTATGGTTGATAATTGGTTGATAAATCCCTTGTTGGTCGTTGATCTCCCCAGAAAAAATAGTGACCAAAAAGTGGGCATGGGTCCCTGGGTCAACAAAAATGTTAGTTGCACTTTGGAAGCAAACTATATCACAGAAAAGAGCATTGGCTGCTTTTTTTTGGTCATTTACAGGGCTGCTTCCACAACGATCGACGAATCGACGTCAGGATGTCCTCAATTGCCCGGCTTAATACCTCTCCACGCGCCTGGAACCTGGCTAAAACCACCATATGGACCACCAAAAAATGGGGCGCTTGGACATGTTTGGAAGATGATTTTTTGATATTTCTTGGGATTGAAGAGTTGGCAAGTTTCCCATTATAATTCCCATAGAGTTATATGATGTTATATGTATACAGTACTGTATATACATATATATATATATATGCACAATCCCCATTTTCATGGCAATCTTCCATAATTGTCAATAATTCATGGGGATTATAGTGGGAAACCAAGCAATTTACCAGTTTCATGTGTTGAAATGGCCCCGCTTGGCCTCGCGGCAAGACCAAGGCCTCCCTTTGGGATGCCGCCGCACGCAGCCTTTCCTGTGCGCCGGGAGTGGTGCATTTTTTTGTGCTTACGGCTACTCACTTCAAAGATTGTTAAAGTGAAACTGGGCATCACAGCATCGCAAGCCCAAAGTAGATAGGAAATGATAGGAACAGTTTTTCAGACCTGGAAATATTGGCGGAAATTCTGGAGGATGGCCATCATCGAACGTTCACGACTCCTGGTCCCTTTTTCGGCATCTCTTTGGGGACCACTGGACCACTATAAGATGATTCAAAATGATTTTGCCACCAAGTTTTGTAACTAAATTGTACTAAATTCAGCAATTTTGAGGGTCAACAGTGCCCCATTTTTGAGCCATTGTGTTCCACAGAGATCACAAGCCTAATGGTCGAGACTGAAATTTCACAACTTCAAAGGAAAAACACATCAAAAACACATCAAAAACACATCAAAAACACATCAAAAACACATCAAAAACACATCAAAAACACATCAAAAACATAGTGGAATCCAAGACATGTTTTTTGACGAATGCACGCGATTCCACCGATTGGTTTCTCGTCGGATTTCGTTGGATTTCTGGGGTCGAACTGTGGCACCAGGTGATACCGCGAGGCTGGGGGCATGCGTGGAACTTTGCTTCCAGCGTGATGAGTGGAATTCGCTGGCAATCAGAATTCGGTCACAAAAACTCGAAAAAAAGCATCATGAATATGTGCAACATAGTGCAACATCCTGGGAGGAATCAGTTAACTCCGCAATCGGGAGGTTTCTGTAAGAAGATTCGCTAAAGTTTGGTGAAGGATGAAAGAAACCTCAGGAGGATTCATTTGCCAAACACGAAAGAATATTAGGTGATCTCGGACCAAAGGTAGTTACATCCCCCATCATCCCCCAAAACTGTGGAGGCAAACAAACACGTTTTGCGAAGAAGGTCACGTTCTTGTTTTCCAAACTGAAAACAACTCACCAGGTTTGCATCTACCCAATGGACGCCAGGCCTTCCAAACCTTATGGCTATGCCGACAGCGCCGCACAGATGATGCGGGTTTGGTGAAAATGGCCATGCTTTCTCTTCAAAGGGACTAGCTGTGTATTCTACAACAATATATAGCAATAATATGCAATAATAACTCTCCAAAGATACTGTCACATGATGATATATATATACACATATAATATGCAATAACAACTCTCCAAAGATACTGTAGCAATAATAATAACTCTACACCAGTATATAACAATAGTAACTAGTAACCAATCAAATGATTCACCATCCCCATAGGGTGCCAGCCCGGTGTCACATGACTTTCACCTGCGGCCTCTGGTAATTTAACATAGCTATTGAACATCACAGTTTTTAATGGTGAAATTCACTATACATGGTGATTTTCCACAGTTATGTTAAATTACCAGAGGGTAGATATATTAGATTTTATAGTTGGTTTATAAATCCATTTGACTGTAGATATCTATAGATACACCATGATACGCCCTTCGGCGTCATGGCTAGCACCATTATGGAGGCTTTGACGGGAAAATCATCGTTTTCCAGCACCACCTTGCAACACTTCTACTGATGAACATGTCTTGAAAAACAATCTACTGTAATCCGATACTCTATTTTGCTGCACATCGTTTTTATTGGGATTTGTAGAGTCAACATAGCAATTCCTGAAGCAATACGGAGCTTGTTCCGAGGCGTCAGCTGCTTTCAGGGGGTACCCGGTATACCCCACAAGTAATCAGTCACTGTTTAGCAATGTGGGCTTGACATTATCCAATAAGATGCTGCAGATTCCAGAATTCATCACCAGGATTCTGCTGCAAAAAATGCTTCAGGACTGTGCTGTATGAATCCTTCAAATCCTAATTACGCTTTTGAACCCAAAGTCAAAAACCAACCAGGGTTACTCCCCAGTCCCGCATAAAAACCATGACTTTCTGAATTTCTCTGGGAACATCTGACTTTTTGCAGGTCAATATGCCAAGTATCGCGTAGACTCCTTGCGATTCAGAAACTCCTCACCAGACTCGCCACACCACGCCGCAGAACTTGGCAGTTCAAAGACAGAAGTGCTGCAACAGACAAACTGCAAAGAAAGACAAATTGCATCCCAACAAGCCAAAAAAATTGCAATTAGGCCCTGAACTCCACAGTTTTTTTTGTCCGCCGCACCGGGCCTCTGGCGGCCTCTGGCTGTGGCGCCCTCGGCGGAGGAGCCTGAAGGGGTTGGCCCCATGTGGATGGGGAAAAATGCCACAAACTGGGGTTATCGGTTGCCAATTTCACCCAGGAACTGGCGTGAAAACACTGGCGTCACAACTGTTGGATACTGAAAAAAGGCCCCATGATCGATGTATCCATCGATTGGGTGGAGATATCATCAAGCAGCAACGTTGGGTAAATTTCATTGACCAAAAAATGGGAGCGGGACTATCACCAACAAAGGCATATTTTGGATATACATTAATCCATGAAATATCAGTATACTGTGAAGATCTGTGAAGAGCAAGCAGTTATATGATGATATATATCATATTCTAAGTACATAAGACGCATAATATAGATATAATTTATGCAGATTTATATATCAGATATAGTGTGGTAACAATCCCAGCCATTTCTAAGTTGGGGCAGGTTTGCGGCGTTGGGTTTACCACATTAAGTGGCTTGCAATGGCTCAAACCAACTAGCTAACTAGCCAACTAAGTAGCCAACAAACCAACTACCGAACTATCGCACTAGTTAATTGCCTAACTACCCAACTGGATATAGATGTAATATATATACATAGCACACACACATATATATATATATCACAAGATAGATGCAATTTCTATGATTCATAAGACATCATAAAACCATCCACCATGCTTCTCCATGTCACCCAGGCGGCCATGCCGAATGCGGACACGCCTGGGTCCCGGTTGGGGACGAATCATGGATGGCGATGGGGGATGTTCAGCATTTTGGAATGATTTTTGGAATGAGTTTCCATGATTTTCCATGGTTTTTCCATGATTTTCCATGGTTTTTCCATGATTTTCCATTGTTTTTCCATGATTTTCTATGGTTTTTCCATGCTTTTCTATGGTTTTTCCATTATTTTCCATAGTTTTTCCATGATTTTCCATTGTTTTTCCATGATTTTCTATGGTTTTTCCATGCTTTTCTATGGTTTTTCCATTATTTTCCATGGTTTTTCCATGATTTTCCATTGTTTTTCCATGATTTTCCATTGTTTTTCCATGATTTTCTATGGTTTTTCCATGCTTTTCTATGGTTTTTCCATGATTTTCCATAGTTTTTCCATGATTTTCCATAGTTTTTCCATGATTTTCTATGGTTTTTCCATGATTTTCCATGGTTTTTCCATGATTTTCCATGGTTTTTCCATGATTTTCCATTGTTTTTCCATGATTTTCTATGGTTTTTCCATGCTTTTCTATGGTTTTTCCATGATTTTCCATGGTTTTTCCATGATTTTCCATGGTTTTTCCATGATTTTCCATTGTTTTTCCATGATTTTCTATGGTTTTTCCATGCTTTTCTATGGTTTTTCCATGCTTTTCCATGGTTTTTCCATGATTTTCCATGGTTTTTCCATGATTTTCCATTGTTTTTCAATGATTTTCTATGGTTTTTCCATGCTTTTCTATGGTTTTTCCATGCTTTTCTATGATTTTTCCATGCTTTTCCATGGTTTTTCCATGATTTTCCATTGTTTTTCCATGATTTTCTATGGTTTTTCCATGCTTTTCTATGGTTTTTCCATGCTTTTCTATGATTTTTCCATGCTTTTCCATGGTTGTTCCATGCTTTTCTATGGTTTTTCCATGCTTTTCTATGGTTTTCCCATGCTTTTCTATGGTTTTTCCATGCTTTTCTATGATTTTTCCATGCTTTTCCATGGTTTTTCCATGCTTTTCTATGGTTTTTCCATGCTTTTCTATGGTTTTCCCATGCTTTTCTATGGTTTTTCCATGCTTTTCCATGGTGTTTCCATGCTTTTCTATGGTTTTTCCATGCTTTTCTATGGTTTTTCCATGCTTTTCTATTGTTTTCCCATGCTTTTCTATGGTTTTTCCATGATTTTCCATGGTTTTTCCATGATTTTCCATTGTTTTTCCATGATTTTCTATGGTTTTTCCATGCTTTTCTATGGTTTTTCCATGATTTTCCATAGTTTTTCCATGATTTTCCATTGTTTTTCCATGATTTTCTATGGTTTTTCCATGTTTTTCTATGGTTTTTCCATTATTTTCCATGGTTTTTCCATGATTTTCCATTGTTTTTCCATGATTTTCTATGGTTTTTCCATGCTTTTCTATGGTTTTTTTATGCTTTTCTATGATTTTTCCATGCTTTTCCATGCTTTTCTATGGTTTTTCCATGCTTTTCTATGGTTTTCCCATGCTTTTCTATGGTTTTTCCATGCTTTTCTATGGTTTTTCCATGATTTTCCATTGTTTTTCCATGATTTTCTATGGTTTTTCCATGCTTTTCTATGGTTTTTCCATGATTTTCCATGGTTTTTTCCATGATTTTCTATTGTTTTTCCATGATTTTCTATGGTTTTTCCATGCTTTTCTATGGTTTTTCCATGCTTTTCTATGATTTTTCCATGCTTTTCCATGGTTTTTCCATGCTTTTCTATGGTTTTTCCATGCTTTTCCATGGTTTTTCCATGATTTTCCATTGTTTTTCCATGATTTTCTATGGTTTTTCTATGCTTTTCCATGGTGTTTCCATGCTTTTCTATGGTTTTTCCATGCTTTTCTATGGTTTTTCCATGCTTTTCTATGATTTTTCCATGCTTTTCCATTGTTTTTCCATGCTTTTCCCATGCTTTTCTATGGTTTTTCCATGCTTTTCTATGGTTTTTCCATGCTTTTCTATGGTTTTTCCATGCTTTTCTATGGTTTTTCCATGCTTTTCCATGGTTTTTCCATGCTTTTCCATGGTTTTTCCATGCTTTTCTATGGTTTTCCCATGCTTTTCTATGATTTTTCCATGCTTTTCCATGGTTTTTCCATGCTTTTCCATGGTGTTTCCATGCTTTTCTATGGTTTTTCCATGCTTTTCTATGGTTTTTCCATGCTTTTCCATGGTTTTTCCATGCTTTTCTATGGTTTTTCCATGCTTTTCTATGGTTTTTCCATGCTTTTCTATGGTTTTTCCATGCTTTTCTATGGTTTTTCCATGCTTTTCTATGATTTTTCCATGCTTTTCCATTTTTCCATGCTTTTCCATGGTTTTTCCATGCTTTTCTATGGTTTTTCCATGCTTTTCTATGGTTTTTCCATGCTTTTCCATGGTTTTTCCATGCTTTTCTATGGTTTTTCCATGCTTTTCTATGGTTTTTCCATGCTTTTCTATGGTTTTTCCATGCTTTTCTATGGTTTTTCCATGCTTTTCCATGGTGTTTCCATGCCTTCTATGGTTTTTCCATGATTTTCCACGGTTGTTGATGATTAAAACCATTGCCATGTGCAACCAATGGATATTTGAGCCACGAGCTTCCGCGGTTTCAGGTGGGAGGAACAGCTCGCGTTTCAAAAAGTGAGAACTTTTGCCTTGGACTCCTCGAGGCTTTTAGCCTCTCGCCAGAATCTATTTGGAAAATTTGGGATACTCAATACAAACTAGGAAATCCCACTATCTCTCAGTTTTTTCCCAGATAGATGGTTTGAACAATACAAATGAAAAAATATAGGAAAGTAGGGAAACATGGGAAAATGAAGGGAACCCCTCTCTGGACGTGGTGTGCCTGAAAATGTAACATGGGAAACCTCCCATTGAATGGTTTTCCAAAAAGATTCATGTGGTAACTTTGCGAATCAATAGAATCTGGTTTAAATCGCTATTGATAGCTCTTTTTGGTGGAAGGATTAATGAATGTCTGAAGTGCAAAAGAATGGTCAATTATTGAACCCACTGCCCGACCCTTTGCAAAAACGATGGGCGATATGAATGGGGAACCAAAACAACATGACCATCATGACTATACAACCCAGATTTTTTTAGAGTGGTTGGTGAAAAAGAGAGACATTCCAAACGGTCGGACGGTGTGTGTAAACGCGCACCTGTGACAAACATCTTTGGTATCAGCTGCCGAGTTTCTTTTTTTATTTCGAAAAGTCCGCTTTTGCTTCTGTCCAACATCACCGCTTCGGGTTGTTTCCAATGCCTTTAGGACCTTTTCCAAGCCAGGGGCCAGCAGCCTTTGCACAGCAAGCATCAAGAGCGTGTTGGAAGTTGATCGAGAAGTTAAGAGCGTCGAAGAAAGAAGTCAAAAGCGCAAGCAAAAGAACTTTGAGGCTTTGTTAGCCCCCCCTCCACCACACCCCACCCCCTACCCCCACCCCCTACCCCTCCCACCCTCGCCATGCACAGTTGATGGGCTGAGAATGTGCGTTTTTTTCCCGTTGGGGCGACACAGAAATGAGGGATATTAATCAGAACAGTTGCAACTATCATTCCAATAAGGAAAAGTCCGGCTTGTTTCTGATTTGAAATTTGGGACTTATCTAAATGTACCCAGAGAATATCTGGCAGCCCCGGTGTGACCAGGATGGTTGTCGTGGTCAAGCGATGGCTGAAGGGTACTTTTTTGTTTTAGGGACCCTCTTTACTTTTTTAGATGGATTCATCAATTCATAGCTAGCTGAACCTATCACTATAACTATCAATGCCTAGTATGTATATCTATAGCTATCTGTAATCTAATGTTTAATATCTAAATCTAAATATATATATATATAGATATCCGTATCTACATCTACATCTACATCTATTATCAATATCAATATCAATATCTATCTGTATATCTTTCTGTAAGCCAGCTATCCAAGATTGGCCATAAATTGTGAAGTTGTGGTTAGCTGCTTGGTATTGGGGTTCTCCTCAAGGATCGGCAGGTATCTGCAACGGAAACCATGGTGGTAGCATCAGCAGTTTGCCGCCCAAAAATGCCAGAAATGGATAGAAATGGGTTTTAATGATGTTTAATGATGTTCAATGATGTTCAATGATGTTTAATGATGTTTAGCGGGAAAAAAGGGGAAAACAACAAGTTTAGAAGTAGGATCTATGGTTTCCTGTTTGAGCATCAATAAATCCTTCTTGAAATTCGAAACCTCTGAAGCAACGAGTCGACCGGTGGATGAAAAGTTTCGGATGGACCATCAGATGCCAAGTCCGGTGGGTCACTTAGTGGGTTAGGTGGGTCAGTTGCGACTAAAGATGCCCAGATATTTCTCGAATCAGAGGGGGTTAGGGTGTCCCAGTCCAGCTGAGGAATTGCAGGTTTCCCTGCTGCAAAACTATATTTGCCACTGGGCTGACAGGGTCGTTTTTTTTTTGGCAGCTGGTTGAGGATGGGCTGAATGTAGGAACAATTCACAAAGTCCCCATTGAATTCATTACAGTCGTTTTTTTCCCCACCACTTTTCACCAATCAATCAATGTTTATAGATGTTTATATATAGATGTTTATGGACTATCTAAGTGTTTCTTGAGGGTATGTACCTCATTGTACCTCTATTTTTTCATTGTTCATAGATTTCATAGCCCTAGAAAAAAAAAACAAACTCGCCATCGACCAGGGATCAACTGGCACTGATCAAGGTGAACAAACTCCGGAAGGGACCTATCATGCCGTCCGCTACGTCTCAGAGGCTGTAGAAGAGGTCCGGTGTTTCCACGGAGCTGTGAGCGATCCGAATCGTCCCAGAACGGGGGCGCTGAAGGATGGCGGGTGAACGGGTTTTTACGGCAGGTCTTCGAGACAATCCATGGACTTCAATTGAAACTGGCCTCAAACTCAGCCGGTTTGGGTTTTGTTTGGAGAATTGGACATGACCTTTGTGAATTCCCTCTTCAGGGCGTTTTTGCGGTTTGGGTTTTGTTTGGATTTCGATAGCCTAGAGGTTTGAAGTTTCCATTTTCCATCTCAAGTTTGACTTTTCGGAAGTGAAGTGATGTGGGTCATCCCCTCTTTTTGGGATATGAGGCCTGTGAGAATTTGCCTGCGCCTGGAAGAGTCAAGGCCGGTTCGCATGGTTCGCCACTTTGTTGGGATTGATACCATGATGTACCATGACATGCAGACTTTTTCTCCAAGACCAATAAGACCAGTTTGATGCACACATGATTGTCGTGATTGTCATGATTGTCATGATTGTCATGAATTATTCGATATTATATGATTATTATATGTAAATAAGCATGCAAGTGCCATCCTGATCAATCTGGACTCTATTTGTAGCCAGTAACTTCAACTTCTCCAGGTAACATGGTAACATCATTCTCCAAGGCACCTCAACCATGACCAGCAACTGGCAGCACCAAGGGCGGCTCACCGCCGCCAGGCCGGCGTCGCTGCGATCGAGGCCGACACGGTGGCCTCGACGGAGGCCGAGGCCGAAACGGCGCCGAAGCCGTCGCTGCGGCCGCGGCAGTTGTTGCCGCGCTCGGAACGGAAGGCGGTCGACGAGTTCCGGAGGAAGTTGCGAAGTGGAAGGTTATAATGGTTTTAATGGTTGGTGGTTTGGGACATTTTTTGATTATTTTTCCACATATTGGGAAGAAAAAAAAACCCAACTGACTTTCATATTTTTCAGAGGGGTTGAAACCACCAACCAGTGGTTATATAACTATAGTCTTTATGGTTTTATAGTGGTTTATACACGAACTTATAAATGGAAGTTTCACCCCATGTGTGTCTTATAAAGCCCATTAACTAGTTCGCTATATCTAGCATAAACCATAGAATTCAGCCATGTTAAGCCACTATCTCATAATAAGGTCTATGATCTTAGAGCTAACCTAGCATAGATATGTGGGATTAAGCCGGAATAATGAATGGGGGACCCGAGTCCCATATTTCGGTCATATTTCTGGTAGGCCGATGCTATGACATATGGCTATGATTATAGGGGCAGATAATGAGATATAGTATGGGATCTAATTTAAAAGTAACTAATATCTTTCATAATTATGTTGGGAATATATCGTGAATTAGTCATTGGGATTATGCAATGACAAAGGAATGGGGGGAATGTGGTTGGTTCACCTGTTAGCTGATGGTTGTTTACTATGATGGTTGATCAGTGATTTCATGGAGAGTGGGTGAACCTTGAATAGATAGTTTAGCCCTACAAAACCTTTTAGTATAAATTGCTATATATATATATGTAAGCAAAAATGAGTGTTTTTTTCGTGACCGAAGATTGGCCATCCAGTTTGACTACGAAAAAACAAATCGGAGGGTAGGTAGTTTAATGGTAGCAAGTATGAATGGAAACTCAAATCTTGCTCATGATCTTTTTGTTTTAACTCATTGTTCACTAATGGGTGAATAAGGGTTAGCCCAAAGTTGACCAACGTTGAGTGAAAAATGCCATTGATCCAGGCATCGGAATTGCTGGTTGTTGCTGGACGGTATGTATGATCAACCAATGGTATTTATGAGAATCATGGGTATTGGAGTTCATGGGTCATGGCATTCATGGCTGCGAACATGGCGATTTCTAGTTGGCATGGCGTGATCACCATATATGCACACGTATATGGTATGCAGATGTATGCAGTACAACCTACGAACATGGGGGTTGAAGAACAATGATGTGCTAAAGCTAGATTTTTGCGTTGTTTTAACCACATTATAGATGATGTTCCCATGCAAAATGGGCATTTCCCAATCAGCTCTTCTGTGAAGTCAAAATCCACCCGTCATTCCCATCATTTTTGGTAACCGAACCGGAAAAATTGCCATCGAAAGATGTTTTCACCCTCCGTTCAAAGATAATTCATAGGGCATAAATGGGTATAATATGGTATAATATGAACGATACCCTTTGGTAAACTAACATAGCTATGGAAAATCACCATGTTGAATGGGAAAATCCACTATTAATGGCCATTTTCAATAGCTATTTTGACATAACCAGAGGGTAATTGAATGTTCACGTAAAGATCATAGGCCTTCATACCAATGATATGGAGCCATATGTCCCATATTTTGCCTTGGAAATTAGCCTCGTTGTCAGATCTTCCTGACTGAAGATGACGATGATCTGGACCGGGACGTGGCCCTAGGGAAATCCTCCCCGTGTCAACGCTCATCTGCCATGTTTTTGGTGTTTTTTGCTACCCAAAACCTCAATTTCACTAGTTTCAAATCATTGATAGTGAGGTGATTTGGGAGGTTCCCCCCAGATATAGTAATGTCCATTCCCCTAAACATAGTAATATATAGGTTTTGACTCAAACCCAGAACCCTTTTTCCGAAAGGCACAGTCTCCTAGATCTGAGGAAACAAAATGAAAACCTGAGAAAAGAACAGACCCCTACACAAACCACTTCACCAAAATACAGGCCATTACAGGGCCCAAGGATGCAGAGAGGTGTGGAGTAGGTTGCAACTTTCAATACCACAAAACATGGAGGGTGCCTAATGGTGCCCAAGAGAAACCAAATGGCAGACTATTTGTCAATTTGGATCCTCATCCCAAATGCGTTTTTTTCAACAAAGAATCTCTGAATGAACATTCATAAAAACCAGCCATTATGATGTTCACCAGAGTAGCAGGGTTTTGACCCATACCTATATAGTCCCTAGGACATTGTTGCAGGATAAACTGGGATATTATCCCAGAGATGTCGATTAATTGTTGGGAGAGTCACTCGATCATAGCCATTTCCATCCATTCCCTGCGGCAATCAAAGGTCATTCTATGTGCTCTATACATGAAGATATTTTTTTTTTGGTCTATGCGACCCAAATGGATCATAGTTCAACAGCATTCAAAAGCCACAAGCTGGGGTTTGGTTTTGTTCTACTGGGAACATCACTCTGAAAGACTGCAGGTCTTGTAAACCCAAGTGGCCAAACATTGATATGATTGCTTAGATATCTACCCACACACAAAAATACATTGTTGTGTGTTCTACCGATCATCCCGAAATCGGCAAAGTATCTCACAATTCACAATCTACATCCCCCATATCCATCCATATCCCGTATGGAACCTACAATCCATCGCTTCCAAGGATGGCCCCCCAGTGATGTTTGTTGGTTTGTATACCATGAAATAACCCCCATGAATACTACTGTAGTTCGTGAAATATCTACCATAAACCCAGTCGCAACTGAACGCGAGCTCGACGGCCATCCTGTAGCATCCGGGCATTGCTATGGACAGGACCAGGCGAGTTCCAGAGATGAACCAGGCGCCTGGGCTGTATATTGGGATTGAGTATATCATGTTATAATATATTATATGTACTTATATAATCTATTATACATTATACATCATATATATATATACATACATTATACTATATATATATATATTACTATATAGAATTATATCCAATTATATATATCCAATAATTATATATATAATTATATGTATATAATTATATATATATAATTATATATATAATTATATATATTATAATTATATATATTTATATGTCAATTATTATATAATATATGCATAACAAAAATGACATATTTTTGCGTAGAATTTCCGATATTTGCGGGGTCCCCCATAACTTGACCCATCTTGACCGATCCCTCGAAACAGAAACAGTTCATTGATAGTTCAGCAGTTCAGCAAACAGATTGAACAGTTCAGGTACATAAAGAAAGCTGATGAACTCTGCGTTTTCAATCATAGAAACCTGATGTTCAGGTTTCTAAAGATTTTGTTTTGGTTTGCTTTAGATCAAAAAAAATGTGGGCAAAACATGGTAAAACATCTTATGAATGATGCTGAATGGAACAACATTTGCTTTGGAAAATGGGAACATCTGAGATCCTAAGATACTAAGCAAGCAACTTGTTCAACGGGGATCTCTAAGAGTGGCCATCGAGACATGAGCCGCGTTGCGGAGGAATCTGGGGGATGTCGTGCCAGTCATAAACCAATGGCTCTTTAGAGGGATGGTGATAAACCAATGGATGGAATGGGCTGTACATCATATCCCATTTGGATCAACGCCATGGCACTTCCCAAGTTGTTCTTCAAAAAGCAGAGCAGCTGGAGCCCAGAAATGAGAGAGATGTTGGGTTCGCATTACTGGCATTACTGGCATTACCGGAAATGATCAGCCGATCAGCCGCTACTTTTAGATGCTACCCCAATGATCACCTGGTTGGTCGTTTCAAACATTTTTTATTTTCCATAATATATGGGATAATCCCAACCCCATTGACTCATATTTCCTTCCCATTGACTTTCATATTTTTCAGAGGGGTAGGCTCAACCACCAACCAGTCACTGTGGGACAGGTTTGACCATGCAAAAGGCGGTCAGCAATGCACAGGACGGCGCCCAGCGCTGTGGCCCAAGCTGCGACTGCCAAGGGGTATACCGAATGCATTTCTTGGTGGCGAGACGCATCTTCAGTTATACATAATCTAAATAAGTTACAGCACATACACAATTATATATATATACAGATACACATACGTATATGTATATATATATATATGGTCTTCCTGGAAGGTCCCCCCATTGCAGATTTCATGACATTTCCATCTAAAAAAAGGGTCGCTTCCCAACCAAGAATCCCCTACTTCCATGATGTCGTTGAGTTTCGGACTCTTTCCTCCGTGTTCTCCAGGAGAGCGTTGCCAGTATCGCCGAGAGCGTGGTTTTGAGCATCAAGAGCGAAGAAGTACAGTCAGCAGCTGGGGCTTGACAATACCATCCATTTTCCTATGGGGATGAAACAAAAACATGCCCAGATTGTTTAGTTCGTCAACTTGGGGAATTCTATCTTTGGCAATGTCCGGAAGCAATGCAGCGACCTCATAACGAGCGAGAGCAGCTGTGTATTTCCAGTTTAGAAATCATGAAAAACATGCCACTGCTGTTTTTCAACGCTATCTTTCTTGGGTTCCATCATTTTCGTGCCATCTTCCATGGTTTCCGGATTTTGTTGAGGCCATTTGCCCCCATGGTTTGCTCAGTCCGAGATGGTGGGGCAAGTTGGTCTGGGACTTTCTGGCACCTTGGCCGGCCATGGCCTTTTTTATCACCTTGGAGAGTGCGCCAGAATCTTTCGAAACACAAATGGGAACATGTGTACATATATATATATTCATATATATAACACATTAAAGTAGTATGTCGTATGTGTATAATGTATATATATATATATACATATATAATTATACATATTTGTTGATTTATGTCATGTGTATGTATGTATATAAATATATATCTAACCAACTATTTGTTTGGTGCAAGGTATCTAGGATTGGGGAAGGTTTTTACCTATGAGATCATTAGTGCGTGTGGAAAGCAACAGGCTCACAGCTAAATTGTGGTTGTCAGAGAACAGTTTGGATCACCATCGATCCATTTTTCACTCTTTGAATGGATCCTTCAGAAACCCTTGCCAAATACCACCGGGTTTTACCGCGGTTTTCCATGGTTTTTCCCCCCATCTAACGCTCGGATGCCCCGATCCTGATCCGACACAGAACCAGAGGGGTTTTTGGGGTCGCAAAAAACCATGGCTTCGGGTAGTGGCAGTCACAAAACCTGCCAGTTTTTTGGATCCATTGCTAGACCTGTTTTTTGCATTCATGGTGTATATGGTGTTCATTCTTATTACTTGAGGTTGGGATGATTAACCTCAAGGACTTTCCTATTTTTCGGCGCTCAACCAACGAGATAAGACTTGTCAGTTATGTTATATCCCATGATATTCCCATATTTGTTGGTAATTCATGATTCTATTCCTAGTAGCCGTAGCCATTAGATCCCCTTTGATTCGGACTAAAAATCGTCCCATCGCAGGTGATGTTCTTGGTTCTGATGGATGCCACGGTGCTTCCGTACCAGTTGACCTTCAAATCCACCTTCGACCCGGACGACTTCGACGTGGTATGGCTGTGGATCACCACTTTGATCTTCGGCATTGATGTGGTGTCCTGGCTTTGGATTCAATGAGATCAGCATCCCACAGGATCCCACTTCCGGCCCCCCATGCCAGTGGCGTCAATTTTGTAGTCGCTTATGTAGTCACTATGGCTTAAAGATGGAGGAGATTTGATGGGATTTATGAAAAACTGAAAAACCATGGCTAGAGGGTAACACACATATTTCTGTTTTGGGACCCCTACAGATGTAGCAACGACTATGAAGACAGGTCGTCAGAGCCCAGTCATGATCGATGGGCTCTTTTTGAAGCTGCCACTGTGGGGTAACCAGAATTCCAATCCCGAAATCTTCCAGTTACCTGTCAGGAAAGCCAACAATCATAACTGGTTGGTGGTTTGGAACATTTTTTATTTTCCACAATATATGGGATAATCATCCCAACTGACTAATATTTTTCAGAGGGGAAAGGTGCTGGCAGCAGTGAGGGAAGGGACATTCAAGCCTGACTGTGAAACAAAAAAAACAATATATATTTAAATGCCAACATTGCCATGAATCCATTTGTAGATGCTGAATATGTGCATTGATCACTTTCCCACAGACAAGGACATCTCCATCCAGCTATATAGGAAAACCGACCTAAGCCTACTACACAAAGATCTAAGATGTAGACGATGATGTACATACATGTACATACTGTCATACTATATGTATATATATATAATTACATATACACATCATGTTCAATCAGATCATGTCCATCTATACCATGTTTGAATGTATATATATACTTATATATCATATTTTTACATTGCTCATTGTATTCGTATGATATCTAGTTAACTGGCTAATATTGACAATATAAATAAACCCATATTATGCCGTTTCAATCTGACTATAACAACTACTGGCTACATAAATCAGACAATGTCAATCTACAATAATATAATATATATATATATATATATACACATCATGTTTAAATCCATATCTATATCTATATCATATATGATATATCTATAGAATATGATAGTATATATGGACAGTATAGATATATGATATAGATATAGTATTCATATAGCATATATATAGTATATAGATATACAATTTCATGCTGTCCATCTATACTGTCCATTTTCCCAGGTGATCTCCTTCAACACCGCCGTGGAAGCCACGGAAAAGGATGTGCACGTGGCGCCAGGACGGGGCGTTTCCGGGGCGGGGCGGAGACCGAGCGAAGAATGGTGGTTTTAATGGGATTTATTGATGGTTTTAATGGGATTTAATGGAATTTAACGGAATTTAATGGGATTTATTGAATGTTTTAATGGGATTGAATGGAATTTAATGGGATTTAATGGGATTTCATTGGATTTAATGAGATTTAATGGGGTATGATGGGGTATAATGGGTTGTAATTGGGATGGAATGGGGATTCACTTGCGATACCCTCTGGTAATTTAACAGTTCGCTATGCAAATTCACCATTTTTTAGTTCGGTAAATCATTAAATGATTGCACACAGGACAATATGTTTTGATCTTCCACGAACAATTCTTTCACACCCATGGAAGCCTGGTGAATTCACACTTCTTGTCTACAGGGAGCTCACCACCTGAGAAAACGATAAGAGGAAAAAAAAACGATAACGTGATTTTGGGTAATTTAAAAAGATACGGGGTTTTTATACAACCCCATTTGTAGATGGGCCATTTTTCATAGCTATGTTAGTTTACTGGTGGATGAGATAACTAAAAACACATAATTGTCTTCCGGCTGATGGTCTTCCCATTCAAATACCCATACACATGGGTGATTTCCCAGCGATAAAAATCGGCGCCGGCAAATCCCATGGTATACTGTACCCTCTGGTAAACATACAAAAAGCTATGGAAAATCACCGTGATTTCGTAGGTCAATCAACTATTTCGACTGGGCCATTTTCCAGTTCGCAAACTGTTAGTTTACCAGGCCGGGTATCCAATTTTCAGACACACCCGCTGTAGACTGTAGACCTTAGCTCAACGGGTGAATTTCACAATGATTCCGGTCAACCCCAAACACCGGTTTGGGATGCAAGTTGATTGGATTTGACATGATGGGATCATAAACAGTGAACTCAAAACTCCTGTTGATTGATTCTTACATGGTAAATATATTGGGGATATCACAATCCATGATGGGAAATCCTATTAGCCAACCAGTACAAAGGGAAGACGGGCCGCGGGTTTTGAGCACAGCTCAAATGATCATGATTGTACGTATATTTCCATGTTTAGAGTGGACCCAGTGACTACTTTTCAGCCGTAGGTCTGCAATTGGCTGGAAGACTGGTTCTTTCCATTTTGCTTGGGAATATGATGGAATATGATCGTCAACTTTTCCATGGGGATGTTGGATGGATAGCCACCAAAAACCCGCAGTCATGTCCCCAGTATCCATCCATTTGATGTCGTTATATAGATGATGAAGCCGGAGCATCACCGACACGAAAAATGCCAGTTAGAATCACTCTGCCCGTTTGTTCCCAGCCCAACTTCACCAGGTTCATTGATTTTGGATCGCAGTGTCATCGCCAAGAAGTTTCTTTGTCGCAGACTGATGTTGGGAGCTTCCATGGATGACATCAATCATTCCGGCCAAAATTCTGCCAGTCTTGTGTTTTTTGGTTGTTGGACCTGGCACTACATGAAAAGCCGCTGCTTGTAATGTGATTTACCTGCAACAATTTCGGACATATTCAGAGGATCTTGACATTTTCATCATTTTCTTCCGGTGGATAAAACGTATCAGTCAACCCCACCTGATGTTGAGAAAAGACCCGGGACATCACGGGACGTTGCACCAAGTCCTTTGGATACCTCAAGGTGCCTCCGTGGTTGGTTTGCCATCGACTTTGGCAGCACCGTCCCATGGTGCGGGGCCAGCACTTCTTGGTGAAAGTTTCGTGCGTTTTTCCACCCCCCAAACCGGTACGATGTCTAAGGAATCCTCTCAGAGGTCAGATGTTGGACGATCACAATCGAAGACGGGGTGCTGGTTTTAAAATTCTTTGGTTTGTTTGGTTTTTTTTGGTTTCGATCTCGTTACCATTCATGATTTCCTGAAGTGAATTCAACCAGCCCATTTTTTTTTGTTTGCCCAAAGGCCAACCAGAAAATGAATGTGTCTGACTATGGGGAAACCCCAAATTGATGATCATCATTTCCATATTTAGATAGTCAGAACTGGTATCATCCCGCAGTTTCAGAGAAACATAGATCCATTTAAGGGGAGATATCCCAGGATAAAACCAGCGACAGTGGGCAGATACATGTAGATGCACAAGAATCAGCCGCATACCAAGGAGCAACACACACACACACATCTATATATATATATATAATAGTTTATCCAGTTGATTCATGACGCGTCATGGGTTTATCTGGACATGTGCCAATGGCGCAATCACAAACCGATCACGGCTGGGCGCAGGTCGCAGCTGGCCGAGCTGCTGACCACGGGCGAAGACTCGGGCTCCGCACAGCTCACGCGCTTGACGAAGGTGGTGAAATTCGTGAGACTCCTGAGGCGGTGGTATATGGATGAAGGGATGCTAAGGGATGCTGGCTGGGCTGGTGGTGACTGGAACATGAAGGGATGCTAGCGGCTAGGGCGTTAGAGACATCATGTAATACATCACCTGGCTTATTGGGGATGATATGATAAACCATCATATATATGCCATATTTCCTGGTTGGTGACTGGAACATGACTGGATGATGACTTTCCCATCATTCAGTTGGGAATGGAATGTCATCATCCCACCTGACGAGTCGTCCATCATTTTTCAGAGATACGTCGGATGGAATTGATGGTGATTCCATGTTACCCGGCCTGGTAAACCTTTACATACCCTCTGGTTATGTCAACAGTTTGCTATTGAACATGGCGAAATAGTGAGTTTTCCCATTAAAAATGGTGATTTTCCATAGTTATGTTAGTTTACCAGAGGGTAACTATGGAAAAGCACCATTTTTTGATGGGTAAATCAACTATGACTCTATGACCATTTTCTATGTCGCAAACTGTTAGTTTACCAGAGGGTATTCACTAAAAAAGATGGTAGTCAAGAGGTAACTTGACCCGCCCCTAGTATGATGAATTCAAGGATTGATTATATGATTTAGTTATATATGCATATGTATATCTACGTGGATTTGAATGGACACATCATATCTTATGAGCTTTTTCAATGGGAAAATCATCGAACCTGAGTGATTTTCCAGCACAATTTTGTGTTGCCGAAGGGTAAAACCTGTGGCGATTGGAGCAGATGTAGACTGCACGAAAACGATCGAAAACTCGCTGGATGTAGAAGGGGATGATGGGGATGACAATTTGCCAGCTGACCGCCATTTTCTGATACCCCCGTTCCACCCAAAAAGGTTTCTTCATTAGCCACAAACATCGCCGAGAATTGTGGAAGTTTACGAAAAAATGCTCAAACATACAAGACTAAGACCAACATGCAATTTTCAGCAAACATGACTTACCCCAAATCCAAAATCAGTTTTTGAAACATATTCAGCATTATCAACCACCACAAGACCGCTGAGAAACTTCTGTTCCAATGAATTAAGATAGTTAAGCACTTCTAGTTTTCCCTCCCCTTCCAAACAGCCCTTAGATCTTTTAAAAATCGCCATGTACCTCAGCATTTTTCCATCTTTTTGGGACTCAGTCATGATTATATAAATCAGAAATCATGTTAAATCACCATTCTCCAAGTTGGTTTAACATGTTTAACCCCCAAGTTTGATCTCCCAACATCCCAAGCTTTCGCGTTGGACAAACACCCGCCAGGCTAATGCGCATGCTGCGCTTGGCCAAACTGGGTGCCATCTGGGAACGCATCGAAGCACGCATCGGCAGCATCTTCTTCGTGCAGTGCGTCGCCTTGATCCGCGCCTTGCTGGAACGGAGAGATGTTGGTGAAACCTTTGCGAAACCGAAAAAAAATGGGGGAGTTCATCTGGTTGGTGGTTTGGAACATTTTTATACATTTTTTATTTTCCATTTCATATATGGGACAATCCTTCCCTTTGACGAACTCATATTTTTCAAGATGGTTAAAACTTGTTAAAACCACCAACCAGTGATGGATGAAAAGATGAAGATCCTAGATTTTATGGATTTCAGATGATTTTATGGATGAACTGGGAGATCAAAACGAGGAATGAACATGGGAATCGCACCCGTATGAAATCATATTTGGACTTTCCACGAGGTGGGCGTTTTGGGGTTATATAATGTGGGGTTGGGTTTCATGTGTTTGGAGCGGTTTTTAGCAGCTGTTTTGGGGATTCTTTATATAGCGTTTTTTTTTGGATGGGAATATGGACATCATATTATATGGGAAGGTGTGAAAAACTACAAGCAAAGACAATGTGAATACGGGGTGAACACGGGTGAAGACTACTATATCCATAGCCACATTGGTGAAGTGCTTGGGAATAAGCAGGTACTGGTGAAGTAGTAGACCATGAGAAAACACATCAGTGGAATTCGCCAGATTTTTTGATACAGATCAACGGATCTTGAACATGTGCATGCTATGCATGCTCAGCAAACATCGCACCATTTGCAATGGTTTCCATGGTTTCCGTGGTGGTTTTTGGAGTTTTTGGTCTCGAATCCCAGCTGTCAGCTGGTGACCAGCTGAGGTGTCCTGTTGGTGGTGATTGGAATTTGCCATTGGAACGCCTGCATCTTTTGGTTGGTTGGACTTCCGCGAAACTTGTGGCTCGGACGATAGAAGCATGCCATGTCGTTGTGTGTCTGAAAATGGGCTTTGCACCGGTATACCCATAAAATATCAAAAATGAACATTTTGATGGGGAAAAATGATGATAAACCATGACTATAATGAGATTTGGGTGGCACTGTGGCACACGAGTAATTCAGACAGATCCCAAAAAAAACAGTTCTAATTCCATCCTATGTTTAACATGGTGATATTTTGCTGAAGAAATCTATCTGACTCTCCAGATATGCCACGGCCCGGATATTTTGCCACGGCCCTTTTTGATGCTCACGCACCATGCTCGAGCCGATTCGAGCCGATTCGCCGTACGACTTTCGAGGTTTTCGGAGCTCTTAGACGATGATTTGCAGGAGCAGTATCTCAATTCGCCCCATTGGACCACGGTGTGGAGGGTCACAGAAGCACAGGTGAATGGCTCGGCCGGGGGAGCTGGGGGAGTTATCAGCTGTCGTGAGGAAGAAAGATGCAGGAATGACATGATCGGATCATCACCAATAGGTTGAACTAATATAGCTGATAGCTGATAGATAAATATATAATTATATGTAGAAAATATTCTAGAAATCATCATTAATATAAACCATGTATCTGTAGTATATATATATAATTATATATATATACAATATACACACCATATATAGATCATCAATATAAAACATGCAGGAAATCTCGACATAAACCACGGTCCAGGCGGATGCTTGGCGTTGGATCGATCGACCCATGGCGGAGAAATACGTGTCTTGGCGCCGAATAGGACGATGATTCGATATGGGATCCGTAGGAGATGGGATCTTTACCCTCTGGTTACCCTCTGGTTATGTCAAAATAGCTATTGAAAATGGCCATTTATAGTGGATTTTCCCATTAAAAATGGTGATTTTCTATAGTTATGTTAGTTTACCAGAGGGTATGTCAAACATAGCTGTTGAACATGGTGATAGAAATAGATATTTAGTTCGTGGATTTACCCATTGATAGCATGGTGGATCTTTCCAGTTCGTTTTTTGTTAAGGTTTACCAGAGGGTATATGATAGAAACTGTTACAATACGGATCATTAAGGATCATTAATAGATATGGATATTATATGATATACTATGTACTATGATATACTATGATATAAGATATAACATATAGAACATATTGTACTACGATCATACTGATACAATATATATATAGTATACATATCATTGTACAGATTATTATGTACAGATATGGGATCAGAGTACTATGATAGAAATATGTAAATACCATGGATCATTAATAGATATAGATCAGCTTTATGGATGTTGATCCCTTATAGATTTTGACCCAGCGCGCCAGCACCCTTGGTGTGGCCTGGACACTGGTATCCGCTACACAGCAAAGCACATTCAAGCAGCAAAGCGACACCTAAACTTCAAAGCAAAATGGAGCACAGCGGTTTTGCTCCAGAACCGGTTCTGATGGGAAGAGCGTGTAAAAGACAGCGAACTGGAACTGAGATGGAAAACCATAGGAATTTATTGGAAAGACCATCTTAGTTGGAATATGCTTTCCCATTGGAACATGTTTGAAAACCATAAAAAAGGGGCCACCAAAGAACCCACCAACTTGGCAAGTTTTGGTGATCACACCCATATGGCTGTGTGGTGTCCCCGAACTAGATCCACACAGTTTTCCATTCTTTTCTGCAGGTTTTCCTTCTCCATCTATTTTTGGATCACTACCTATGTCACGAAAAATACACAGATTACATTAACACATTGCTTACATCACTGATATGGCTGCTCTTTAGAGCAGGGGATAGAACAGAAGTCGCCTATTTTCACCACCAAGAACGAGTGGATTTCCTTTTTTCGGAGTTGATTTTCTCGCCCTTTATAGTAGCTGGGTTCCTGTAGTCTAAGACAGCATCAATTCAGAAAGTTTGCTGTAAAGAAAGCTGTTTGGCACCAAACTGTTTTTGTTTTGTTACCCATCCCTAATGACTTCGGCAGGTCTTCTGTTTCTACTGGACCTTGGGCGTGATGCGCACCATGCCAGCGGAAGTCACGCCGGTGAATCTGCCCGAACGGCTCTTCGTCCTGATCTTCATGTTCTTTGCACTGAGTGCTTTCGCGCCTTGGTGGTGAAACATGTGAGGGTTTCCTAAGTCATGGGGGTACCCCAATAGCTGGATGGTTTATAAGGGAAAATCCCAATCTAAAATGGATGATTTGGGGGTACCCCCATGGCTATGGAAACCCTCATGTGGGACGTATGATGGAAGTATTGACCAACAGAAGTATCATGGGGTATCAGATGTATCAGTATAATCCCTCAATATATCATGAGATGACATATCCCCCGATCGAAATCCCGGTATTGGATCTATTCATTTTGGGGGGAACATATGTGGGATATGAATATTAGGGAGAATGGGGTTTGTTGAATTGGAGAATATCAACCTAACGAGAACATTAACGCACTAATCCGTTAAAAGACATATGCCAAAATGGTATTTTCAATGGTATTTTCCATATCTTTTGCGATCTTTCCACTGTTTTTTCCCTTCTTCAAGATGGGAAGATCTGGGAAGCTCAGCGAGGCCATCTGTGTCTCGCTCATCACACAAGCCTTCTTTAAGCAGCTTGGCAAAGGAAATTCCGAGGGGCGGAAGCATTTCTGGTAACTGGGACCTGGTCGAGTTGTAGGATTATCCTAAGATGGTTGTCAAGTATCCCGATGTTCGTATCTTGTCCGTATCCTTGTTGGTTGCACCGAAATTTTCCGTATCCTACTATGTTTCATCACCATCGGACACTATAATTAATAGGCTTAATTTTACCAGAATTTCCCCGTCATGTGGCTGATGTCCCCATTCTTATTGGTGAACGGGCCCCGCTTTCATCGCCTTATGTAATTGGAGCATGGCATCCTTCATCACCCGTGGCGAAAATGTGGAAATATGATGAAATATGTGGAAATGTTTGCACTTTTGCTTCAAGCACTTTTTTTGCTTCAAGCACTTTTGCTTCATTACACCTTTCATTATGCGTCTACAGCATTTCGCATTTCCAGTGCTTGCGCCATGGGTGCTTTGGCCGTTCTGCCGCGCTTCACAGTGGCGTTTGTGTTGGTAATTGCGTTGCCCGATGCTGACCGTCAAGAGAAAGATCTTGGTGATGAGGCTTGGCTGGTGACTTCGAAGAAAGAGTTTGCCATTGCGCATGTATCGTGATCTGATACGGTGTTGATGAACCTGAAGACTGAGCGTGCGAATGTCATGGAACAATTCGGAGGACGTCCGGAGCGCGTCGTTGGCATCGTCCGGAAAAGTCGTTGGGGCAGATCCGGGCGACGTCGCGCTGTCGGAGCTCTCCGAGATCCGAATGACTTCCGTCGGTGCTCCAGAGCTGAAGGATGGGATTTTGAATCACACTGCACGATCTTTGGTCCTTTTGCCGGGAAAAAAACACCGATCCCAAAGGCTCGAGGTTGATGCCGATGTCCAAGAACTCAAAAGCCTGCAGAGTGCCTATGTTACAACAGGTGCTGTATCCCAGGAGTGCCTTCGCATGCCAAACTATTGCAACAGATGTTCCACCAGAATGTCTCCCTTGCCTTACTTGCAAACACCTGGGAACAAGTGGGCTGCGCGCTGTGGTCATGTTGCTCAACTGAAAGATCCTCAAAATTTTGACCAAGACATGTTGAAAGTCCAAGATGCCGAAAAGATTTATGTTTGCGCATTATGAGGATGGGATGGGATGGGTTTAAGGTTAAACCTACTATACCATGTTTTTTTTCCCTGGAGGGTGAACATCCAGTTCCAGCTTTGTTGTGCAGAGGGGATGGTCCCAAAAAAGTTGAATGGAAAAAAGGAACACACACCCGAAACTTGGAGGGCCAAAACGGACACAATAGGACTTGGTATTTTTTTTTTAAAAAACCAATCAACATTTTTTCGACGTTTTGTCGCTTTTTGGGTGGTGAAAAAGCCTCACCAAAGTGCTGAGATTTCCCAATTGTTGTTGTCAACATCTTCAATTTGTTTCTTTTCTTTTCAGATCTTCATCAGGTGATTTTGCCGGGGTTCACTTCCCCACAATTTATTGATTCTAATCATCAAGAATAGCCCCAGAAACTTTCGACGTGAAAACACCTCGAAACAATGGCCAGATGAATTCCTGAAACCCTGTTCAGAAATTCAACACCACCATGGTAAAGCATAGGAAAACATGGAAAACAGTCATGTTTGTTGTAGGTGATTTACCATAACATGACTATTACAACGGTATCTGGTTGGTGGTTTGGAACATTTGGATTATTTTCCATTTCATATATGGAATGTCATCCAGACCCCATTGGCGAACTCCATCATTTTTCAAGATGTTCATTGCACCACCAAACAGGTCATGATTAACCATTATAAACCATTATAAACCATTATTAACCATTATTATTATTATTAACCATTATAAACCATGGAAATCCCTAGGAAAAACCCATGGCTATAAAACATATCAACACACAACATGTCCATCGCCATGGTGCTGACCGCCGCCGGAGACCTCAGGATTTCGGACCGGCGTCGAGCCTTCAACGAGGAGTGAACCGAATCTTCGGAACGTGACGGATGGGGATAGACCACGGGAGTGGGGATAGGAGTCGAACCACATATATGGTGGTTAATAGTGGTTAGTAATGGTTAATAATGGTTAATCATGACCTGGTTAAGTATTGAATATCTAGATTTACACAATATGACAGGTAATCTTTTTTTGTTTTCCTCTCTCTCTCTCTGGATATATATATATTATATTATATTATATATATTATATTATATATATATTATATTATATATATATTATATTATATATTATATATTTATATTATATTATATTATATATTTATATTATATTATATTATATTATATATATATATATTATAAAATTATATATACATAACTATATAACACATATATTTCAGCCATTTGTTGTTGATGCAGTCGCGCCGAAAAACAGGAGCTTGCAGCAGTGCGGATGCACCTGCAGAAGACGGCCGTTGAGGAGAGATGGATGATCCCCTTGGGGGTCTGGTGATCAGTACCGAAAAATGGACGAGCTAAGTTTATGAAAGAGCTAAGTTGGTGAACATAAGTCCAATTTCACTATATGGTTTATATTGATTTATATTGGTTTATAGATGTTTATATGGATTTATAGGTGATATACCGAACGAGTTTTCATGGGATTATAATGCAACACAATGTTTACCAGGCTTCGGCAGTGCTGTGGATTCCATGTGCAGATCCCAGGGACCTCATCCCAGGGACCTCGGGGGACCGATCCTGCCAGGAGCCGATCCAGTTGAAGGTCAAGGCATATTTGAGGCGCGCAAGATTTGCTGCCCTGTGGGTGTGTAGAGAAGTGTGTGTTTTTGTAAATACATATATATATATATATTATATATATATGTATGTATTTCTCAAACAAACATCAACAACTAAGTATGCGTATCAATACATTTGATATCATTTGATGTTGATTGCCTTTCATTTCAACTATTATTTATGTGGTATTTGTATCGCCAACTAATGGTCTGCTGGAACATCCACCATTCTTGGGGTTACCCCGATTGGGAGATCATGATTCCAACACGCCCAACTTGAACGACACCCGATAGGTATATCTTTGATCGGCGTCGCATTCAAGCAAAGGCCTTGCAGTGCTGCTGGGAGCTTTCGAGAAAGCTATAAACCTTGGGCGAAGGGTGCCCGAAATAGGTCATCGCTTGATTTTTTTTTGGGGAAGTGAGAACGAGTCCGCTACCCCTTGTGCTGGATTTTGGCGATCAAACTTCCGATCTGATTTGCTGCTTACTTCCATTTACTTCCCTATTTGTTTTGAGCTTAAATCTTTGTTCTGGATTTCTTGCTGGTCAAATCCCTAAAGCTTTGCTGCTGCTACCTGTTGACTTGTTTTTATTTTAAATGTAGCTTCGCCAGGCTTGCTCCAACCTATTGGTCAATGATAACCACGAGGGGCAAAAAAATCGCAATTTTACCTCCACACTTTGCCAAGTTCCGATACCCTTGTGGAGTACCTGGAATGTCGGTCGCGATTGCCTTGATTCTCCGTCTTCGCATAGCAGGAAGCCAACTTGCTGAACATTTTGCCCGAACAGTTGAAAATCCAAGTCCGGAGATCACAGGCTCGATGAACTGGCGATGAGCCGAACTGGCGATTGTAGACTGTACCCTCTGGTTATTTAACATAGCCCATTTATAGATGGTTTACCTGGGTTTACCTATATATTAAAATGGTGATTTTCCATGGCTATGTTAAATAACCAGATGGTAGTTAGACGTGTCTTTATATGTCTTAAGCCGACTTGCCACTGGGACATTTTTCGCTCTGAACATGGGCAATACTGGCTGATGGACATAGAGGGTAAGCAGAGCCATGAAGGTTGAGGTTGACTGGAATCATGGTTTATTTTCGGGAAACCATCCCCAAATGGCTTTCAGGTTAGTGAAATATAATATACCCAGATAAACAGATGATTCTGACACAGGAATACCTCGGATACCTCTCTATTGAACAATGATGGCATCAAGAAATGATGATTGCCCTGGCCAGTCCCCCGTTGACATTTTCCAGTTGAGGTCAGGGGTGCTGGGATGACCGGCACATCCCAGGTTTCCCCATTTTCTGCGATCTATTAGTGGTAGGTGGTTGTGTGGAATAGCATCCAAAAAAAATGTGGAATATTCATCCAGGGGCAAATCCATGTAAACCCCGCTGCTGATTCACTGAAACATCCTCGTTCCTGAAACATCCGGTGTTTAGCGATGTAAACCGTCCATGTTTGAGCTGTTCTACCCTGCATATGATCCCAGATGCGAATGCACTTGCAGAAGATCCCTTTGATGCGGGAAGTTGAATGGGACAGTGCCTCGACTGGGTCGGATCCCAACTCAATGGAGGTGTAGTTCGCTGGGGCAATCATCGAACGAGGGGATTTTCAAACACGCCACGGAACTAATTACTAGAGACCTAAGATACGATACGCCCCAAATTGTCCGGCTTGGTGTGTCATAGCTTGCTATGTCCGGCTTGCTATGCCAGAAATTTGGCATATCAATCCCCAGGATTTTGGCGTGAAAACTGGTGACATGTTGTGACCCATCATTTCGATGCGGCGATGCGGCACTCCTTGAGGGTCCCCCAGGGGTCCCCTGGGTCAAAAACGAGCCATGGCCCATGGCGGCTCCAGGTTTTGAAAAGGTCCTGGATTCGCTGGAAACCTTCGACCTCATGCAGGGTGACGAAGTGAACGGTGCAGGTGCCTTTCTTTGGTTGAAAAGTGCCGTGTTTAGATCAATGAGCGGAACATAGAAATGGATTCTCATTGAATTGACATCATTCTTAGACAATGACATAATATATCATAATATGACATAATCATCATTGATCATCATTCCAGTTGCATTTTGGTGGATATCATTCCAGTGGAATCAGTCAACAAAAAAACCACAACTTCCAGTGGATTTTGGTCATCTTTCCTCTAAAAACTCAGTTTTTTCACTGGACGAATCCTCTTTTTTTAGTGGGTGAAAGGTTGATTTCATAAACCATCCCCCATTTATACTACCATTTTTTGGTTGGTAGTATAAACCATTCCCAATCATGTGTGGTTTATGACATTGTTTTACTCACATTACTCTACTTACGTGGGGTACAACATATGTTCTGAGACTTACTAACTGCAACTTACCACATTGAACAAGCAAGTAGTGGCTTGACTGTAGCCAAATTAAAGTTACGCTTGCAGAGCCAAACCGAAATAGATTTCGAATGACTTGAAGTTGGATGGTTAAAGACTAGACGAAAATGATCCTTCGACATATTCATATTGACATAAAGTTGGATGGACGTCCTGGATGCTGAAAGTTGGATGGTCACCATCTACCAGGTTCCCCGGCCACGGCAGCCTGGGTCCTGGTCTTCGGGCGCTTGCGCATTGTGAAACGCATCATCATGATGTCCCTTGGCCCAGTTGATTGGTGCAGAATTTTGTGGTTGGAAAATGCGCACGGACCATGCAGCGTTTAACCATGGTAAAGTTGGGGCATTTTCCTATGGGGATTTCGATGAGTTGATGATGATTCAAGCCGATGGGGATTTCGATGTTTTGATGCTGAAATGTGGAGGAATTACTGTATGAGGAATGAAGCTTACAACATGTGGTGGCCCCTGGGTCAACTCCTGGTTTAAGTAGGATAGATTGAATAGACCTTCCCAAATATGGAATTCAATGATTCCACCCCAACTACTCCGCAAAATACGTCATCCTTCGGTGATGATCGTTCAAAGACCCAAATTTTTCGTTTTCGGGACTCACAAGTTCCATGAATACATTCCCCCAAACCTCCGGTTCAACCACCTGCTTTGAATCATGAAAAATATGTTCTGAGATCATTTTTGATAAGACAATCGCATCAGTTCTTATAATCTCTTTGTCCTTATTTGTCCTTCTTTTTTGGATACAAAAAAACTCTTCCACGGGGCCGCTGCTTCTCCGCTTCTCCTGCCAAGCCGCACGTCTAACCGTTAGGAGCAGCGACACCGCGATCAACGATTTGGACATCGCGCCGCTCATCGTGGACGAACATTGCCTCGAAGATGAAAATACGGTGCTCTCCAGGTGGACACGGGCGATGGGTCCCATGGGTTTTGTCCAATTTTCCAGCAGATTTTTCGCAACAGAAATGGCAGGGATTTTGTGGCATCATTGGATAGTTTATTGGGTTTAACCAAAAAACCAAGAAAGGCTATCATCCACCAACCATTTTATGGGTATAATATATAATATAATTATACATTATATATATATATAAATGTATATATCCACTACAAGCTGGATGTATGCAACAGTAACATTGGGATACGACAATACACAAATGCATGCAAATACTTAAATACTGTGCAATTCTGTTCGGGCGAAGAACAAAACTATTTCGTAGCTCAGTAGCCTTCGACCCATACCCAAAGATCATGGCCAACACATGTTGTACACCATGAGTCGCCATAGTCGCTTGATTCTATAAACTTGTCCAAAAATGGCGGGGAGGGGGTTATACCACCAAATCCATTGGCAACTGACGACTTACCTATTGAAATTGCCCTGTATAAATTGGTTGTATACACCATTTTCAGACAGACCCATATCTGTTAATTGAACCCCATTTCCAGATCATTCGTTCCTCGCTATACCTGATTATATAATCCGTAATTAATATATTTGAGTATTGAGCCGACTCAATCTTTTTTAGCAAATCAACCTATGGTTCCAATGTTGCCTCTTATCTTTCTACGCATATCTCAACCATTCTCCACCTATGATTGGATTATTCACATGATTCATTGCCTCATATCCCCCATGCCGAAAAAGATGGTCATTTCTCCATCTCCCGCAGAATTACCGCCATTGCGGCGGAGAGTTCAGAGCTGATTCGCGTGGACAAGGCACGGTGGGCTGTAGCGTCTCGCTATGGAAAATCGTGGGACCTCAAAGTCACATTATCCATTGGTTATGGGACCCAAATCATGGTTCACTATCCTTATCCGATAGATATAGCCTTTGATATCCTTGGTTATGACTAACAGTTCGCCATGGAAAATCACCACCATTTCAAGAACGCCATGGATCATCTATTTCTATGGGTCATTTCCCATAGCAAACTCTTAGTTGAGGCGAAGAAAAATTCCGAACTTCTCCCATCTTCGGGCGACATGGCGGACATATTTTCTCTTGGATGGCTCAGTTGCCGTCGGTCGAGGTGAAGTTCTTCAAGTGCATTTCGGAGACCCGAAGGTTGACAGCTCAGTTACCGCGTTTCTAGTTGAGTGGTGATCAGATGGCTCCCAGAAGTGATCACTTGGAAACCAAAAATCCCAACATGGTGATGTTAGCCGTAGTGGCGATGTTGCCAGTTTTAGCGGCCATGGCTTGGGTGTGAAAACTTTTGGAAACATCAAAGGTTTTGGCTCAAAGGCCTACATTTTGTGTTGAGAAACTGGGATGGCTCTTAGCACAGCTGGAGTCTGTGAGCGCTAGAATTCAGGGCAAAGAAATGAAGACACCAGAAGAAGAAGTTGTGTGCGATGTTTTCACTTCTGTTGATCACATTATAATCTTCACATCTGCATCGATAGTGACTCATTTGTGGATTTCAAAACGTAAAATTGTGTCACTTGTATGCAATGGATAAGTTATTTATGGTTTTTGTTATTCATTTCTTATCTGAACAAAATCATCTTTGGGTCACTCCTACCTGTGTTTTGTACTTAACAGAATATTTTTGTTGATTCTGTAATGACCAATAATTATTGACAATGATCGAGTTTTGCTTATGAAATATATAATATATATTCATTGTTGTTAATGAATATCCCTGTATTTCTTTGTCAATATCCCTGTATTTCCCACATCTTCATGGTGTTAAGATACCCATACTGCATCTGTTGGTTAGTTGGTTGATTCCCCGCATCTTCATTCTTTTCATGGTTAATATCCCTATAATATCATATAATATAATATGATATATAATATGATATATAATATGATATATAATATGATATATAATATGATATATAATATGATATATAATATGATATAATTATAATATGATATATACTATGATATATAATATGATATATAATATGATATATATATGATATAATACACTATACAATATAAGACAATGTAATATGACATGATATAATATGATATAGCATTGAATAACAATTAATGATATGATATATCATATATCCCAACATGGCCACAAACTCCTTTTAAGGAAATATCGTGTTTTTTCCACCAGGAAGAGTTTGCACGTGCGCGGCACAGCGCTGTACCGCGTGAAGAAGAGCACCATCGAAGACTCCGGGATGAGACCAAGGAGGACGACAAAAATGACCATCGGATCGACGGATCATATTCGCAACGGAGAACGTACGGATGTTTTGAGTGATGTAAACCATGGGGTTATTACCATCTGGTTATTTATATAACATAGCCATGGGAAATGGCCCATTTATGGATGGTTTACCTATTAAAAATGATGATTTTCCATGGCTATGTCAAATAACCAGATGGTATATCCACTTGGATTATCTTGGATTGATTGGTTGCATGGTTTGGAACATGTTTTTTAAAAAATATATTTGGGATGATGATCCAATCTGAGTCATATTTTTCAGAGGGGTTGAAACCACCAACCAGATTGATTGGTTGTATGGATGGTATCTATATATATGTATATGTATGTATATGTATATGTATGTATGTTCATCACTTTGTGGATGTTTGGGTCATCTTTCGAATATTTTTTTTGTCTGTGTTACTTGAATATCCCCACTACGTTTTTCATGATGTTGTTGGGGTCATCAAAAACGATCAAAAACGGATGGCTTATGTTCATCACACTGTGTGGATTCCTGAGTCCAACTGGTTTGCTTGAAGTCACATGTAGGAAATATAAGAAGCCGTACTAACAGTTTGCTATTGAAAACGACCATAAAAATAGTGGATTTATCCATAGCATGGTGATTTTCCATAGTTTTTTGTTAACGTTTACCAGAGGGTAATACAGGCATGACTGCATACACATTGAGTACGTCATATATGCAGCTTGTTGGATTTCCTGACGAAGTTTCATGTGACAACTCGATGACATTCCACTACATCTATATCTGGGGGTTTCCATAAATGGGGATACAAAAAATAGCTTCAATAGCTGGATGGTTTATTTCCATGGGCAAATCCATCAATAAATGGATGAGAACTGGGGGTACCCTCTGGTAATTTAACATAGCTATTGAAAATGGCCCAGTCGAAATAGTGGATTTTCCATGATTTTCCCATTAAAAATGGTGATTTTCAATAGCTATGTTAAATTACCAGAGGGTACCCCTATTTTTAGGAAACCCCCCATCTCATTCTGAAATTGAATGCCATGGCCGTGCATCCCATGACTGGATGAGGAATATCGACCACAAGATGCATCACGGTGTTGAAAAAACTCTGGTTTTGATAGCAGTTTAAATGACAGGTATTTCCCAGTCTATGGATTACATGGTTCATTTTCTGGTATGTTCACCGATGTTTTATAGTAAGTGACAGGTATTTCCCCCCTCTATCTCCCATCAAACATCATCGGAACAATGGGTTTTTGCCCCTTATCGATGTGTGGTCCCAGTTGTGGTCAGCTATGCAGACCCATTCATCTAAGTGGGGATCCATTGATCCAAGTGGCTTATTTCAGATGGTTAGTTAGGAACTTCGTAAAGCCACGAAACGGTGGGTAGCATTGGGTAAATATCCTAAGTTGGCCCGGCGTGAAACGGCTGGGTTCATCTGGTTCATCATCCTTTTCCCATCTGGGTATGGGTCAATACCTATAGATACATTTTTAGTGGGTTATTCACATCCATTAATCCCAGCTATGACTTGGGGTTCACTAGGTACCAGGGTTTTGACCCATCCCCATCTTTTTCCCTAACGAGCAACAGCCCATAGCTCCATGGTCGCCAGCTGTGCCAAGCGCAAAGCAGCTTCCAGGAGCAGCGAAGCCGCCATCCACGCAGCTGCCGTGATTTCCTCGTCCTGACGCTGGCCAGGCACGGCACCTGTCGAGACAGCGGGAAGGGATGGGAAGGGATGCAATAGAGACTAGAAATTTATATTCTATAATATATATATAGATGCTGATATATATAATTATATATATATAGATGCTGATATTTATATATAATTACATGTGATTATATATATATAATTACACATATATGTTTACAAATCAAGGAGCTCTGCCTTAGGCCGTTACCTCGATGCGTATCGGAAAAAGCGGAAGTCGGCGGAAGCGTGTTTATATCTATATTCAGCAAATTTGGAAATTAGATGGGTTGATGTATATTTGTATCTATGATAATATGTAGATTGTGATATTCTATAAGCAAACATAAATTGATGTGTATGACATTGGTGTCACCAACAAAAATGGTTGTAGAAATCCAACCGCAATGGTAATACGTATGGGATGATGAATAAACTTTCAAGATGCTTGTTTTTGGCCATCAAAAATGGGTATATGCAGGTATATTAACCATCAACAATAGGGGCCAATGAATAGTGAATATGGAGTGTGTATGAAAATGGGACACAATGATATACTCCAACATAGTAACTGAAGAGAAAACTCTTCCATTTGGCATGCTATTTGCAACATTTTACTGCAATCTTCCATTTTGCTTGCTATTTGCAGCATTTTTGAGCTGCAACCTTCCATTTTGCAGGATATTTGCATATATTTGCAACATGTTGGAGCTGGAATCTTTCATTCGGCATGCTCTTTGCAAGCTGGTGTTGGTTGTTGGTTGTTGTCTGTTAGTTGTGGGTTCTTGTTTGTTATTGCTATCCTTGTTGCAGTTGCAGTTTTTTTTGTTGCTGTAGTTTTTGTTGTAGTTATGTAGTTGTAGTTGTAGTAGTATTTTTTGTTGCTGTTTTTGTATGTTTTTGTTACTGTTGCTGTTGTGGTTGTTGTTGCTGCTGAGGTTGCGGTCTTTGTTTGAGCCCACCTATCCCAATCTACCAGATGAAATCTATGTTTGTTTTCCTTGACAACATATTCAAATAAATTAAATACTGCCCAATACACATATTACAGTGTGGTTTCGGTTTCTAGTATTTGCTATAGGCCCGGTTCGGTTCATGTTCGGTTTCGGTTCCTGCGGTTCCTGGTCGATTTCGGTTCGGTTCGGTTCGGTGTTTGGAATATTCTGCATTGATATTTGCTTTTTTTCCAGCGTCGGAAAAGCAAATACATATTGCTTCCCGCAAGAGGTTTCTTGCTTCCCGCAAGAGGTTTCATGAGCAGCGGCTTTCAAAGAGCGGAGAGAGCTGAACTCGGAAAACCAAAGCTTCCTGAAATTGTCAGCGCATGCATTTTTTTATGAAGAAACCCATATTTGTTTTTTTCATTGAGCTCAAAAAGCAATTACAACTTGTCCAATCAGTTTACTGGGGGAGGGTAAGACGGTTCCGGTTCCTCAAGTTCGGTTTTGCACACGGTTCCAGCGGTTCACGGTTCCTACGGTTCATAGGCTTTTTGAATTTCTACGGTTCGGTTCCACGGTTCCGGTTCGGTTCCAGAACCTTATTGATATTATATATATATACAATGTATATATACATACATACAAGAATATACAAGAATCAGCAAGTCTACGATATATGTCTAATGCAAGTACCAAACGTAGCCATGGTAGCCATGTTGACTGCAAGGCAATTCGCAGGTTGTTCGACCCCATTGGTTTGCTGCCCGTGATGGAGCCAGGAACCGAAGCACGTCGGAACTGAACCGCCAACGTTTTCCGAACAAAGATCCCATCAGTTTCCCACTGAGAATCAATGACCCATGGGACCAACGACATCCAACTACCACTACAAATCACCTGAAAATGTGCTGGACGCCGTTGGAAGTCATTGGGATTACTGATCGCCTGGAATGATGATGTGAGTGACTTCTAGGGATGAAATGGGGTTTTATGTCACCAACGACAGGGATCTAGTCAAAGTGGGAAGAAAATTTGAGCTATCTATCAATCTGCTGTTGGTATTGACCAATAGGTGAAGATTTTGACCAATCATTGGTGATGACGATTGATGAAGAGGGACCACGAGGTGATCGTTGACAGCCGGGCCTAACCCGACTCCAGTGTTGCTTATGAACCCATGCACTGGAATCATGGTCCATGATTGAGTGAGGTCAAAGAAATCTTGTCATGTGAAGAAATCAGAATTGTAAACTCTGGGGATAGTCTAGATTGCTTCAGGCTGTTTCTAGTATTCTTGCTAACACCACTGATTTGAAAAAACTGTTACTAATGGACGAATGCCAAGACTGATACTCCACCACTGATTCTAATACTATTATCTACTATTTCTGAGACTGATACTAAGGATTGCTACTGTTACAATGGACGCAGAAGCCGCACCCGAGAAACTGTTGGGAAGGATTCATGCATCTGGCGCCAGCTAAGCTGGTCAAGTGCGCTCAGTGGCTCGCGTGTGGTGCCCCGCCTGATTGCCACTGGAGATATGTGCTGAGATGATAAAGAAAAACACTTCATGTGGGAAAAACAAACATAAACCACCCATTTGGGAATGGTTTATACCACCACCTATTCATGGTGATTTGGGGGATCGTTTATCATTGTTTTGCCCACATTAAGTAGAATCTGCAGTGAGTACACTTGGATAATTCCTCTCATGTGGCTGGAACAACATGCTTCAACAAGAATGGTAGTACAAGCTGATCTTCTTCCTTGGAGGATGTACTTGAGCAGAAGCTGGAATAAAATCAGGAACTGTTACAAGGATTTACAAGGTCATGCCCGCCAGTCGCAAGTTGGTTTATAACCCTATTCAACTATTTCGATGTAAACTAACCAGTTGTTGGAGCTACAAGAAAGCTTAGCTAGTTCCTTATGAAGCATCACCTTGTACTTTTGAGCATCAATTCAGGGACTGGCAGCCAAATGAACGCCGTCCCATTGTCGCCATTGGATTGGTACAATTACAAGGTTCAAATGTGCTTGATTTGCTCAGGATTACGAAAAAACCTGCGGAAATCCACACGAATCTCTCAGATTGCAATCCATGTTCATTGATCCAAAAATAGCCACAGTTTTGGTGAACACCTCGTCAGCGACAAACGAAAACAGGTTTTGAACCCGCGAAGTCAGGACGTGGCCTGGGCGCCCCTTATTTTGGCACCATTTTCTGCAGCTCGGAGCAGGTGTTTTGGGTCAGATCAAAGTTGAATCAAAGTTGATGTGGCTATGCTGATGAGCTGAGTTTCCCTTAGATTTCTGCGGGCTTTGCTGGTTATACCCACCATGAAGAATGGCTGGGATATGCGAAAAAAATATGTAGATTTCCTTCAACCCTAAACCCAGTAAGAGGTTGCGTTTTTCGTTGTTTGGTGTGGTGATCTCATTGAAACCACATTGAATTTCATTGACATTCATGCCATCACATGGTGCTCATTGCAGATACACCGGAAACAAACTGTGCTGCAAGGCTTGGAGCACCGGTAAGAACTACTTTGATACCCGGATTGGGGAAACTCTTGCAGCTTCAGAAGGGCACCAAGAAGTATACAAAAATGCAGTACGTTTGTACCTTTTGGTAATCTTACTCGGAAGTTTTCACCCAACTTGTAGGCACATAGGAGATTCAACTTGAAAACGGGGGATTTCCCAGTGTGAGTCATCTACTGATCTGCCAGATCTTGCTCCGACCGACGAAACTTGTGGCTTCTCCATGGCTTGGTGTGGTGACATTTGCAAACGACATTTGCAAACAATGGATATATAAGCTGTTGGATCTATCACATTTCTACAAAGCTTATCGGTTCATGTTGCTGAATTTCGTGTAGAGTACCAATGGCATCAGCTAGCCGCGTTCGCCAACAGAGTAGCCTTCATCCGTATCCTGGTTGGTGGTTTGGAGCATTTGGATTATTTTTCCCATCATATTGGGAATGTCATCATCCCAACTGACTAATAAAAACCAAGCAGGTGTAAGATCTTGCTATAAACATCTATATACCCCATTGATTTCTAGTTTCAGATCTTTACACAATCAGAATCATCCCAACAATCAGATCCCAACTTGGCAGTCGCTCCGCAACATGCCTACCGCGATGCCCAATCTTAGCTCCTCGTCGCGGCTTCCGAATGGAACCGTGGCGAAACAGTGACCCAAATCCTTGGGCGAGATCGATCCGTCAACAAGCGTTGTTTCAGTGTCAGGCTAAGCAACAAACAGTTTGATATCCATGGCCAGAACGCAAGAATGCTGGTGATATCACAGCAGTACTGGATTCTTCCTTATCACATGTTCTTTTTCTTCTTGACCGGATATTTAAGTATTCTGAATTGTCACTAGTGACGGATAGTTCACTGCATCTCTTGCAGATTTTGGCTTGTCATTATATCCATCATGTGGTATTCTTGTAAGGAAACCTACCTTTCCAACTGGGCAGAGCTCTAAGACTCTAAGCCCGCAGAGCTCCGTACATTTTACCAGGCTTTCGGTTGAAAATATGATAAGGGGAACGGGATTCATGTTGCTATACTATCCATGAATAACAATATAGTTAGATAATGTTAGTGGGATATAGTGGGTATCAATCATTGATATGGTTAATGGTTGATTCGTATGAAAAATGAGTAATCATGATATAAAACCATCACTTATCACTTCTTATTTTCAAATGATTTCCCAATCTGCTTTATGATAAACCCCCAGAAAGGATACTTACATATCCCTATGATTTTCTCTCACATCGAGCAAACCCAAGGGAATGTCAACCGCTGGACGTTGCGGTCGGCGCAGTTCATAGCCAAGTCACACGAGGAATCTCCGAATATAAAAACGATGATGTTTTGCCAAGCTGTGCCTATGGAATCCATAGTGGGCATGGAATGTTATGGAATCCAAAGTCGTGTCTGGAATCCATAGTGTTGTTCTGGACCTAAAGTCACCAATCTATATTTGCATAGTTTGCCATGTTGAATGGCAAATTAGACATACTTCTTGCAGTACAGTTTGTTTCCCAATGCAACTTCATGGCAAACAACCACAGCTCCGACTGCGGCGTTCATGTTGCGCGTTGCGCACCGTTTACGACTTAAACAAGAGTAGGAAAACAGGCTGCAGCATCAGGGTTGCTCCAACCTTACATGGATAGATTTCCAGCCACAAAGAGTTTTTTTTCCATTTTTTTCCTATAACAGAATCTCACATTAAAAGATTTGTCGAGTTTCAGAGGGTTTTCCCAGATTGGTATCTTGTGGCTGGGTGCAACCATCGAATCCATGTAGCAGTTTCATACCATGACATGTCCACATCGACTGTCCCGTAGGGCAGTCTGAAAGCTGCACCGTTTTCTGCAGACCCAGAGTTTTTACTATCGAAGCAGAGTTTTTTTCAAAAAACACAATACCTTCCCAAGATTAGGGGCTTAACTTGGGTTTATCAAGTTGTCAGTTATCATATCGGAGTTTTTTTTGCAAGAGATGTGTAGCTGGTCAGTCTACTTTCAAAGACAATTTTCATATATTATCTCTTTCTGGAGTCATGAGTAAAAGTTCGTGGGTTACTTGTGTGCTGCAGATGGCAGACAAACCAGCGGAGCAATGTAAGATTTGTTGGAAAAGGGCATGTAAGATTACACATAGGTTGATTCTCCTCCCATTCTACAGCCCAATGTGGGGCCCCCGTTTACGATAGCTAAGTTGATTTATAACTCCAACAACTATTGTTTATGATACGCAAATAACTTAATCATAACTACAGGATGGTGCCCCCCAGTTATAAGTTGGCTTATAAACCCCATTAACTATAGTTATATCTGCCATAAACCATAGTTATGGGAGTTATAAACCAACTTATCTAACTATGGGGCACCACCTTGTATAGTTTTTTGGGGGCTTATAAACCAACAAACATCACGTTTGGGGGCCCCACATTGACGCCTTGCCATGAAGTTTGCGGGGCTGCAGTCGAGGGCTGAGGGATTGGGGCAGGGAGATTCCGCACTGGTCATGGTGACTTAATGATGGATTTAAGCAACAAAGAAACGGAATTTGATGATGGATTTAATGGGGATTTCATTTAATGGATTTAATGGATTTAAGCAATAAGATTCATAAATCATGAAAAAAATGGGGATTTCTGTAACAAACATGATGATTTAACGGGGATTTCACCAACACACATAGCGATTTCATAAGGATTTAACAAGCAAAAATGGTGGTATAATAGGGATTTCCAGTGCGAATATGGGAGAATCTGGAGAAATTACGACGACCTCATCCCCGAAATGGCCGCACTTTCGAGGCTGGTGAATTACTATAGTTTATCATAAGAAACATCCAGAAACATGGATAGGGTATGGATAGAATATAGGATATATATATATATATTATAATTATAAAATAATTATATATACATGGATGATATACGGATAGAATATAGGATATTAACATAATGATATTTAGATATATACTAATAGGATAGAATATAGGGACAAACTCTTGCTAAACATTGGACAGACGGCTCGGCCATCGCAATGCCATGAGACCGGGAATCAACGAGTTACCCTCCGGCAATGGAACATGGCCTGCTGGAAAATGCTCCACTTATTATAGGATGGTGGCTCATCCCACTTAGTAAGTGGGTTATAACCACTTATAACTGGGGTTATAACCCACTTATTAAGTGGGATGAGCCACCAAGTAGGATGTTTTAGTTTTCCCATGCAAATTTCCATTTTTTGGCAATGTTCCATTGATAGGCTACCATTTAGTTTATATATTTTGTCCCCAAATTGACTGCGGGGATTTTCATGAATTTTCCAGCCAGCCATGTTTGATTACCAGAGGCTACTTTTTTCGATTTGAAAGGATTTCCTGTATCCAGAAAACTAGGGACATGTATCCAGATCATCACCGAGATTGTACCACACCCTTGTTGCCTGCTTTCCCAATCTACCGATGCCTCATTGTTGCTGCTGGGCCGTCACCATAGGCCTCATGCCGTGTTAGTAGCCTAGTAACTTGTCTGTGCACATATCAACCACCTATGATTAAGATTGATTAAGTATCATCCGTGATAGTATCACTTGCCATGATCACATCGTTGAGTTGACCAGGCAATCAGTTGATCATCTGCCATGTAGTCACATAATGTCACATAGTCATTGCTAAAAACCACCCGCCACGGATGCAAAGATTGCAAAGGTGGGAGGCTCATGGCAACATTGCTCCAGGTGGGATAGAGATCAAACCGCAAAGAGGGGCGGCGGTTTTTGTCTACTATATACACATATTACATTTACTACATATTATACCATCTGGTTATTTAACATAGCTATGGAAAATCACCATTTTTAATAGGTAAACCATCTATAAACGGGCCATTTTCCATGGCTATGTTAAATAACCAGAGGGTAATATTTATAGTATTTTATACTATACTACATCATACCACATCTTATAGTATTTATACAAACAAATATACTTATACGGTATACATATTTTGGGTCAGGCCTGTTTTTTTAAAGGACTTCACTTGGGTTTGGCACTTTGAAGCATTGCCCGAAAATGGCCATGGATGGCGAGGTGAGTGTCGCTGGGGTCAGAAGCCCATTTTACTAATGGGACAAGCAGCATGTGAATGGAAAACCATCGAACTATAGTCCGCTCATGTGACCAATGATCGGAAAGTATGTACCCTCTGGTTATTTAACGTAGCCATGGAAAATGGCCCATTTATGGATGATTTTCCCACTAAAACCTCCATTTATAAGGGATTTTCTACGGCTATGTTAAATAACCAGATGGTAAATGGAATGAACTATGGAGAGCAGCTACTTGGGACTTATTGATGAGAGGTATTGACCAGTTCCTAACCAGGACCAGTCAAAAAAACAAGACTCCCTGAACCAATTTATGTTGATCATGTTTGGCACCAGCCGTAGCCTTTTTTCGGGTTCCGTTTGGCACCTGCTGGCGCCAAGTCTACCATCAAGTTCCGTTTAGGTTGGCTCGTGGAGAAGGTTCAGTTCGTTCAGAACGTGCCGGGAGGAACCTCATTCCTGGCAGGCGAGTAGAAGTCCTCAGGGAACCAGACAATGGAATCCTCAGGTTATGGCTAAATCTATCCCAGATATACCCTCTGGCTATGACTAACAGTTCGCCATGGTTAAGCCATGGCCCATAGAAATAGATGGTTTACCTATTAGAAATGGTGGATCTTTCCATGGCTATGTTAAATAACCAGATATAAGATGTAAGCCATGGTGATTTATCACGACAAGTGATATATCTATCCCTGACCCCTATGATCTTGATTGATCTTAAAGGTATGGCAATTTACCCAGCCGCCTGTTGTGTAATATCTAGTGTTATTCCAGGCGAATTGTGCCAGAAAACCCGGTGGGCAAAAGATGACCACTTTTTTTTAGTCAAGGTAACTCAGGTATTCCATACAGATCTGGATGAATTTTTCCACGACCTGAAATTCCAGCGACATCACAACGGAATGGATGGGCATCGATTGCGGGGAATCATCCCAAAATGACATTTATCCAGATAGATATGGGATATTTATCCAGATAGATATGGGATATTTATCCAGAAAGATATGTTTCATGGAACATGGGTGAATTGCTATGATTTATCCAGATAAAAAAAAGGCAAAGCCATGATTTTCCAAGAGCGATCTACAAATGGTGGGTTTTCCACAGAGGTGTTGGCAAACAAAAATGAAACCTGGGATTCAACATGCCGTAACCATGGAAAACGGGTATTTAAGATATTTTGAGATGATTTATGAGTAAAACAAGACACATTTAACTATATTTAAGCATATTTCAGCATATCTTTGGTTCTAGGAGCGACTATTTGTCAGGCCCTCCGTCTGGGCCATCAGTGAGGTCATCGTTTCAAGGACTGGCGAAGCTGACCCACAAAGAGATAGAAAAGTGAAAGCCCTGAATTGTTAGTATGGGATCTATGTCAAAAAAAAGAACCATCTTATGACAACATACTAAGACAATCTAAGACATATGATAGATTAAGTATTATACCCCTATGATAGATTAGATAAATGATAGAATTATTCGTTTAAATTCGGTATACACCGTGAATGACTGATGTAAAAGGACACCCAGTCATGGTTTCTTACTGTAAGTCATGGGGGATCCCCAGTCGTCACCACGGTTGTTAAGCTATACTAAGTCATGGTCATCCATGACTTGGATGATTTGGGGGTACCCCTATGACTTAGGACACCTCCAAATTGTGGAAAACTACTTATTTGTAGGTAGTTGTTACCATGTTTTTTCGGGATTACTACGGTAAATTTTTGGAGGTAGTTGATACCAACCATGTGGTACCTCCAATTTTTTTTTATTGGATTACTATCTTGGTTGTTGACCATGTTTTTTTCCTAATTTTCGACCACAGAACTAGGAAGATGATCCCAATCGAGAAGCACATGTTTCAGATGGGTTGAAACCACCAACCAGCATCATTATAGCCTATCATTTGGGGGTTCCTAAAATAGGGGGCGCTGTACCCAAAATCATCCAAGTCATGGATGAGCATGACTTAGTATCGAAACACATGGTTTTGGGGTACCCCTATTTTAGGAAACCTCCATTTATATTACATAATCAAAATTCAGATTTGGATTTGACGTTTTTATAACTTTTTGGGGTTGCTTTAAACAGGAATCGAGGAGAGAAGGTTTCTATCTGCGACGCCAACATAGAACTGGTCTTCATTCAGGTCTCAAAGAGGTTTCCCTTGGACTGACATCCCAAATTGGACGTTTTCAGATCCAAAAAATGACCTTCGCCATGGGCCTGGGGCCCAACCTTTGGGACTCTGCGGGAAAGCAAGTGACTTAGTGGATTTTTCAGCTTCATCCGAGAAGGCATTTGCCGTGTTTGTTCATCCTGCGTACTACAAACGTTGACTAAAACTTGTGGCTGGTAACTTGGTAACTGATAACTGCCTCTAACCTTAAGACTTAAGACCAATGAATTGTATATGATTGTATTGCAGTGCATTATTTATTGTAGGGACATGGAGAAGCCGAAGAAAAATGCCGGAGTTGTGCAGAAAAATGGTGAAGATCCGCCTGAAGATTCGCCTGTGGTTGTGGTTGTTGGTGGTAAAAAAAAGCCCCCTTAATAAGCTCTGGAATAAACCCGGCTATTAAGCCTTAATCGATGATTAGTAAACCTTAGGGGTTCTTGATAGAAACTTCTTCCTATTAATCACTACTAAGTGGTTCACCCCAGTGGCTTAGTTCACACCCGACTTAGGCCACTGAAAAATACCAGCCGTTCACCAAGCTGCTTACCGTGGTGAACCATCGAGTACTTATGATGAATGCTTGGCCTGACATTAATCACTGCTGTTAATTGTCTAATCACTAGATATTAATCACTAATGATCAATAAATATCTAGTCTAATCAATAATGTCTAAAGTCTAATCACGGTTAAATTGTCTAATCAATTTTCTTTAGACTTTGCTAGACCATTTATTGATCACTGTTGGTAAAGCAATAGGATCCACCCACGCCAATGACTTCCCATTTTTATGGGTAGAACTTAACCATCAGGAGATGGGTGGTTTATGACATTGCTCTATACTAGCGTTAACAACATTTAGTAACCACTGTTAATAATCCATGATTCACCACAAAAAACACTATAAATCAACATAAAACAAATCCATCACCATTATCAATCACCATTAATCACCATTAATCACTATTAAGCACTATGAAGCACTAATCCCATTGTCGTGTTGGGAGCTGTTTGGGGCACCTTCGCAGCACCGTTCAGGAGACGTTCACCAAGACCCTTTCCAGGTGAGGTTATTTTTTTCGAATTTCGGACCCATAAAAATGGACCTTGAAAACGGTCAATTCGCTAGGGAAAATGATGAAATGACCATAGAAATAGTGAGTTTTCCCATTAATAGCATGGTAATTTTAACCATAGTTTTTTGTATGTTTACCAGAGGGTAATTGATGTGGAGTATGGTTTTTGACCAATGATATACCAATCCCAATCCGCATTTGTTTTTTTTATTATTGGGATTCAATGCGGATAATCTGGATAAATTGTAGCGACCTCACAAAGCGAGGTCACTGGCATGAATGGTTAGGATAGGGGTAACTATCTGATCCCAAAATTGCCACACTGTTCAGTCTGCTAAATTATGGCATAATTTATCAAGAATGGGCAACATTATTTTTTTGCAGCAACAGTGCAAGTTTCAGTTACATAAAGCATTTCTGGAGAAATCCGGCACTGGGTTGCCTCCCAAGTTATCCCCTGTGGGTAATCACCGTGTCCCACGGGCACGTTTTTGGTGGCGGCGCTCAATGGGCGGGACTTGTCACTTTTGCAAATGGCGTGTTTTCGGGGGGTGGGTGGGGGGTTCGGGGGGGTGTAATAACGTTCTTTCGTCTGCGTTTCAAAGATGTTGCAACTTCTTCTTCAAATGACTTCCAAGACGCTCTTGATACGTTGTAACATCTTCTTCAAGTAACTTCCAAGACGCTCTTGATACGTCGTAACATCTTCTTCAAGTAACTTCTAAGACACTCTTGATACGTCGCAACATCTTCTTCAAATAACTTCTAAGACGCTCTTGATACGTCGTAACATCTTCTTCAAGTAACTTCTAAGACGCTCTTGATACGTCGCAACATCTTCTTCAAATGACTTCCAAGACGCTCTTGATACGTTGTAACATCTTCTTCAAGTAACTTCCAAGACGCTCTTGATACGTCGTAACATCTTCTTCAAGTAACTTCTAAGACACTCTTGATACGTCGCAACATCTTCTTCAAATAACTTCTAAGACGCTCTTGATACGTCGTAACATCTTCTTCAAGTAACTTCTAAGACGCTCTTGATACGCCGCAACATCTTCTTCAAGTAACTTCCAAGACGCTCTTGATACGTCGTAACATCTTCTTCAAGTAACATCCAAGACGCTCTTGATATGTCGCAACATCTTCTTCAAGTAACTTCCAAGACGCTCTTGATACGTCGTAACATCTTCTTCAAGCAACATCCAAGACGCTCTTGATACGTCGTAACATCTTCTTCAAGTAACTTCCAAGACGCTCTTGATACGTCGTAACATCTTCTTCAAGTAACTTCCAAGACGCTCTTGATACGTCGTAACATCTTCTTCAAGTAACTTCCAAGACGCTCTTGATACGTTCTGCGCTGATGAGACACTGCCTAATATGGCAATGGTTGCATGAAGTCTTTGCTCCTGGCTACTCCCTATGGGATCAGTTGGCCAAGCTTTGTCAAAAACACAACAACAAAGTTGGACTGTGGCGTCTCGCATGATGAAAAAAGGCTGTCGAATCATCACCTCAGATCGATCCAAAAATGACTTGCAGGGCATGAGCCAAATGGGCAACGATCCCGACGCCCAGGACCAATCAGCGACGGGAATCGGCACATGGCTGGGGAATCATGGTATCATTTCACATTTGTAAGTCACTGAATCTAATAGACATGTATATGATCTGGTTATATTTGGTGGGTTCCAATGTTTCCCCTGCTATATTGGGATGCCAATCGCGAATGAGTTACATTATTTGCGGGGGGTTGCAACCAGCAACCAGAGATGCACATGATGGCCGAAGGGACAAGATACTTAGCAACATCAAGATACTTAGCAAAATCTCCAATTCTTCCATTGTTTTGGGGACTGGTTTTCCATGTATGATGAATTTCATTGCCTACAAACATGATCAAGAACGAAGAATTGGATGTCCATCTTCCCAGGACTGAAAAGGAAACATCACACGAAAACAGCATATTTTGCGGACTGAAACAAATCATAACAAATCATACTTTCCTTGACATGTTTCGCTTCAATCCAATGATCGTTGAAACCCTGCTTGTTGATTCAATAAGCCATGTGAAATCGCCATCTTCGGTGAAGTCCCCAAAGGATCAGAACTTATTGGGGGATATTACTGTAATTATCGCCCCAAAGTTGCTGATACTTACAGAATTATAACTGTTATTATCATTATTATATCTTACGATTGGTTAATGGATTATATCTTACGACTTGTGATTGGTTAATGGAGTCACTTTTCCTTTCAACCACTCTATCTTTTCCAGGAATTGGACGACCGAGAAGAGGAGGCCGCTGAGAATGACATGGAGGAGAAATCCGAACATCTCACGTGGTGCGGCCCAGGATGACATGGGCACTGCCGAAATCTGATGCTATAGTTTTTTTTTTGGGGGGGGCCACTCCAAATGATTTTGGGGGGACAAATGATGACATGGGCAACACCCAAAGAAGATGGACAAATCGATTCCTACGAACATAGTGAGAATCTGAACCGTTTCGTTTTTTTTTTGGGCGTGGCTGCCTAAAATTGAGACACTTGATTCAAATCTTAAATATTTGAGTCTAGTCTTGACAATCAAAAATGGTCCAAAAATGTCAAGATCAACAAGTTCCAGGCTGTTTTGAAGGCCTATGGCAGCTATGGTTTCGGAGTTTCGGCTGTTCCCTGGGATTATCCCTCCGAGGCACATGACCTGTGGGATCTCTTCGGGTGATGGAGGGAGTCAGGTCACCTGTGGCGTGCCCATGTGCGCCGTGCCGTGGGCCCATGTGGGCAACGGAGCTGATGGGACTCGTGGATCTGGTGGCTGATTTTGGGGATGTCTATCTTTAAGAACTTTTAGCATCAAAGATCATCACAGTATTTTTCATCCTGGAAAAGATGGAAAGGATAGACATCCCCAAGTCATTGAGTTAGTATATAGATGTATATAGTTTTTTTTGTTCAAAAAACACTTTTCTCTATCATTTTGGGGATTACTTGTTTGTTGAGGGCAATGACACATGGAAGCGCTCAAAGAATTGGCAGATTCAGTCACACATATGGAGATTTGAAGCGGAAACATTGCATACATGAAATGTATGCTGTTTTGTGATGCATATACATATGCAATATTAGATTACACTCACCAAATCCTACTTCCAGCCCAGCAAGTTTGGAGGTACCGCGACAAAGCCACTGGTGCTCCATATATCATGTCGGCGGCCCCTACGCGATGCCGCGGTCACCATGCCGTTTTAACAATGGACAGGCCGATGTCCAGAAAAACGTGGTATTCTAATCCAGTTTAGGATATACAGATACAGTAGTTGGGATATATGATAGGATATAGTTGGGATATAGTTGGGATATATAGTTGGGATCTTTACAATAGGATATAGTTGGGATATATAACCAACTTGATAGGATATTTGGATGTGTTTGGGGTTTGCCTGAAAAAGGGCGACTTGATCCCTTAATTATGGCAATATTACATGGGGAAATGATACAAAAACAGGATGGAATGGGATGCTGGTTGATCTTGATCTAAAGGCTAGAGCTGGTAGTACTGAGGTCCAATCTGGAAGTCAGGGATGAGTTTTGACTGGAAGGATCCATGGATATGGATACAACGGATATGGATTCCTTGAAATCAACTTAGTTTGGGGGGCTGAACATCGAGTGATATCAAGCGGTTGATGGTTTTTGATAAAGTCTATGTTGGTTGATGGGCTATGGAGCTGTGACTCTGTCACTTGACCTTGATCGCTCTTCAATTTTGATCCGTATGGGTCAGATCCCTCAAAAAATGATACATGATACATGCATATTTCCCCATGTTCCTTACTTACACACGTATATCTACTGGATCAAATCTTCACTTTACTTGGCCAAGTCCTCATTTCAATAGCTCAAATTCCCTGTTAAACTTGCTCAATTCCTATTTTTCCCCACCTGCCAGGTGAGGGTTGTTAGATTTTATGTCAGTTGCCTCCTCCTCCTCCTTCTCCTCCTTCTCCTCCTCCTTCTCCTCCTCCTCCTCCTCCGCCTCCTCCTGCCTCGTCCTCCTCTCCTCCTCCTCCTCGTCCTCCTCGTCGTCCTCGTCGTCCTCGTCGTCCTCGTCGTCCTTGCTCAACTGCGACCCGCGATCCACAGTGTTCTCTGCCGGACCTCAACCACGACCATCCACGCCCAGTGTTCCCTGCCGGACCTCAACCACGACCATCCACGCCCAATGTTCCCTGCCGGACCTCAACCACGACCATCCTCGCCCAGTGTTCCCTGCCGGACCTCAACCACGACCATCCACGCCCAGTGTTCCCTGCCGGACCTCAACCGCGAGTATCCACGCCAAGTGTTCCCTGCCGGACCTCATGTAGGAAGATATGGGACAAAGAATGTGCAGAAGAAAGTTAGAAAGAATGTCAGAAAGAATGTCAGAAGATATGCCAGAAGATATGCCAGAAGATACTCTCGTGAAATTTAACCTGGGCCAAAAAAAAAAAAATTATCCCGCTACGTTAGCGTTCGGGATTTCCCGTTGAACAGCGCTAACATAGCAGCTGAAATCTTGCATGTTCATGGGGTGATTTTGATACTAACCTGACACCTGCCGCGCCTCCATCAGCACAAATTCCCAAAAGTGTCAAGTTAGTGTTCGTGCTGTATTTGGGAACATGGCGAATACTCCAAAGCTGGAACCACCAAATGGAAGGTGCCATGTTTGACTGGCACAACTGTTTTTGCATATCTTCCTGGGGCTCACTCTTACTGGACCCAAAAAAGCTTCAAAACGAACTTTTACATAATAGATTGAATAAGGAAAAAACTCCTGGTCGATGTTGCCAATCTGGCTCCTTGCTGCCATGATGATTATGATGTACTATTGGAGGTTTTGGGAACCCTGGGCGAATGCTATGTTAGCAATCCTGTTGCCAAAACTCTGGTTTGGGTTGAAAATCATGACTGGCACAGCTGTTTTTGCATGTCTTCCTGGGGCTCACCCTTACTGGACCCAAAAAAGCTTCAAAACGAACAGTTTTACATAATAGATTGAATAAGGAAAAAACTCCTGGTCGATGTTGCCAATCTGGCTCCTTACTGCCATGATGATTATGATGTACTATTGGCGGTTTTGGGAAACCTGGGCAAATGCTATGTTAGCAATCCTGTTGCCAAAACTTTGGTTTGGATTTAAAATCATGACTGGCACAACTGTTTTTGCATGTCTTCCTGGGGCTCACCCTTACTGGACCCAAAAAAGCTTCAAAACGAACAGTTTTACATAATAGATTGAATAAGGAAACAGCCCCTGGTCGATGTTGCCAATCTGGCTCCTTGCTGCCATGATGATTATGATGTACTATTGGAGGTTTTGGGAACCCTGGGCAAATGCTATATTAGCAATCCTGTTGCCAAACCTCTGGTTTGGATTGAAAATCATGACTGGCACAACTGTTTTTGCATGTCTTCCTGGGGCTCACCCTTACTGGACCCAAAAAAGCTTCAAAACGAACAGTTTTACATAATAGATTGAACAAGGAAAAAACTCCTGGTCGATATTGCCAATCTGGCTCTTGCTGCCATGATGATTATGATGTACTATTGGAGGTTTTGGGAACCCTGGGCAAATGCTATGTTAGCAATCCTGTTGCCAAAACTCTGGTTTGGATTGAAAATCATGACTGGCACAAGTGTTTTTGCATGTCTTCCTGGGGCTCACCCTTATTGGACCCCAAAAAAGCTTCAAAACGAACAGTTTTACATAATAGATTGAATAAGGAAAAAACTCCTGGTCGATGTTGCCAATCTGGCTCCTTGCTGCCATGATGATTATGATGTACCATTGGAGGTTTTGGGAACCCTGGGCAAATGCTATGTTAGCAATCCTGTTGCCAAAACTCTGGTTTGGATTGAAATTCATGACTGGCACAACTGTTTTTGCATGTCTTCCTGGGGCTCACCCTTACTGGACCCAAAAAAGCTTCAAAACGCACAGTTTTACATAATAGATTGAATAAGGAAAAAACTCCTGGTCGATGTTGCCAATCTGGCTCCTTGCTGCCATGATGATTATGATGTACTATTGGAAGTTTTGGGGACCCTGGGCAAATGCTATGTGAGCAATCCTGTTGCCAAAACTCTGGTTTGGATTGAAAATCATGACTGGCACAACTGTTTTTGCATGTCTTCCTGGGGCCCACCCTTACTGGACCCAAAAAAGCTTCAAAACGAACAGTTTTTCATAATAGATTGAATAAGGAAAAAACTCGTGGTCGATGTTGCCAATCTGGCTCCTTGCTGCCATGATGATTATGATGTACTATTGGAGGTTTTGGGAACCCTGGGCAAATGCTATGTTAGCAATCCTGTTGCCAACACTCTGGTTTGGATTGAAAATCATGACTGGCACAACTGTTTTTGCATGTCTTCCTGGGGCTCACCCTTACTGGACCCAAAAAAGCTTCAAAACGAACAGTTTTACATAATAGATTGAATAAGGAAAAAAATCCTGGTCGATGTTGCCAATCTGGCTACTTGCTGCCATGATGGTTATGATGTACTATTGGAGGTTTTGGGAACCCTGGGCAAATGCTATGTTAGCAATCCTGTTGCCAAAATTCTGGTTTGGATTGAAAATCATGACTGGCACAACTGTTTTTGCATGTCTTCCTGGGGCACACCCTTACTGGACCCAAAAAAGCTTCAAAACAACAGTTTTACACAATAGATTGAATAAGGAAAAACTCCTGGTCGATGTTGCCAATCTGGCTCCTTGCTGCCATGATGATTATGATGTACTATTGGAGGTTTTGGGAACCCTGGGCAAATGCTATGTTAGCAATCCTGTTGCCAAAACTCTGGTTTGGCTGGTTTGGATTGAAAATCATGACTGGCACAGCTGTTTTTGCATGTCTTCCTGGGGCTCACCCTTACTGGACCCAAAAAAGCTTCAAAACGAACAGTTTTACATAATAGATTGAATAAGGAAAAAACTCCTGGTCGATGTTGCCAGTCTGGCTCCTTGCTGCCATGATGAATATGATGTACTATTGGAGGTTTTGGGAACCCTGGGCAAATGCTATGTTAGCAATCCTGTTGCCAAAACTCTGGTTTGGATTGAAAATCATGACTGGCACATCTGTTTTTGCATGTCTTCCTGGGGCTCGCCCTTATTGGACCCAAAACAGCTTCAAAACGAAGCGTTTTACATAATAGATTGAATAAGGAAAAACTCCTGGTCGATGTTGCCAATCTGGCTCTTGCTGCCATGATGATTATGATGTACTATTGGAGGTTTTGGGAACCCTGGGCAAATGCTATGTTAGCAATCCTGTTGCCAAAACTCTGGTTTGGATTGAAAATCATGACTGGCACAACTGTTTTTGCATGTCTTCCTGGGGCTCACCCTTACTGGACCCAAAAAAGCTTCAAAACGAACAGTTTTACATAATAGATTGAATAAGGAAAAAACTCCTGGTCGATGTTGCCAATCTGGCTCCTTGCTGCCATGATGATTATGATGTACTATTGGAGGTTTTGGGAACCCTGGGCAAATGCTATGTTAGCAATCCTGTTGCCAAAACTCTGGTTTGGATTGAAAATCATGACTGGCACAACTGTTTTTGCATGTCTTCCTGGGGCTCACCCTTACTGGACCCAAAAAAGCTTCAAAACAACAGTTTTACATAATAGATTGAATAAGGAAAAAACTCCTGGTCGATGTTGCCAATCTGGCTACTTGCTGCCATGATGATTATGATGTACTATTGGAGGTTTTGGGAACCCTGGGCAAATGCTATGTTAGCAATCCTGTTGCCAAAACTCTGGTTTGGATTGAAAATCATGACTGGCACAACTGTTTTTGCATGTCTTCCTGGGGCTCACCCTTACTGGACCCAAAAAAGCTTCAAAACAACAGTTTTACATAATAGATTGAATAAGGAAAAAACTCCTGGTCGATGTTGCCAATCTGGCTCCTTGCTGCCATGATGATTATGATGTACTATTGGAGGTTTTGGGAAACCCTGGGCAAATGCTATGTTAGCAATCCTGTTGCCAAAACTCTGGTTTGGATTGACAATCATGACTGGCACAACTGTCTTTGCATGTCTTCCTGGGGCTCACCCTTACTGGACCCAAAAAAGCTTCAAAACGAACAGTTTTACATAATAGATTGAATAAGGAAAAAACTCCTGGTCGATGTTGCCAATCTGGCTCCTTGCTGCCATGATGATTATGATGTACTATTGGAGGTTTTGGGAACCCTGGGCAAATGCTATGTTAGCAATCCTGTTGCCAAAACTCTGGTTTGGATTGAAAATCATGACTGGCACAACTGTTTTTGCATGTCTTCCTGGGGCTCACCCTTACTGGACCCAAAAAAGCTTCAAAACGAACAGTTTTGCATAATAGATTGAATAAGGGAAAAAACTCCCGGTCGATGTTGCCAATCTGGCTCCTGGCTGCCATGATGATTATGATGTACTATTGGAGGTTGTGGGAACCCTGGGCAAATGCTATGTTAGCAATCCTGTTGCCAAAACTCTGGTTTGGATTGAACATCATGAACTGGACCCAAAAAAGCTTGAAAACGAACAGTTTTACATAATAAATTGAATAAGGAAAAAACTCCTGGTCGATGTTGCCAGTCTGGCTCCTTGCTGCCATGATGATTATGATGTACTATTGGAGGTTTTGGGAACCCTGGGCAAATGCTATGTTAGCAATCCTGTTGCCAAAACTCTGGTTTGGATTGAAAATCATGACTGGCACAACTGTTTTTGCATGTCTTCCTGGGGCTCACCCTCACTGGACCCAAAAAAGCTTCAAAACGAACAGTTTTACATAATAGATTGAATAAGGAAAAAACTCCTGGTCGATGTTGCCAATCTGGCTCCTTGCTGCCATGATGATTATGATGTACTATTGGAGGTTTTGGGAACCCTGGGCAAATGCTATGTTAGCAATCCTGTTGCCAAAACTCTGGTTTGGATTGAAAATCATGACTGGCACAACTGTTTTTGCATGTCTTCCTGGGGCTCACCCTTACTGGACCCCAAAAAAGCTTCAAAACGAACAGTTTTACATAATAGATTGAATAAGGAAAAAACTCGTGGTCGATGTTGCCAATCTGGCTCCTTGCTGCCATGATGATTATGATGTACTATTGGAGGTTTTGGGAACCCTGGGCAAATGCTATGTTAGCAATCCTGTTGCCAAAATTCTGGTTTGGATTGAAAATCATGACTGGCACAACTGTTTTTGCATGTCTTCCTGGGGCTCACCCTTACTGGACCCAAAAAAGCTTCAAAACGAACAGTTTTACATAATAGATTGAATAAGGAAAAAACTCCTGGTCGATGTTGCCAATCTGGCTCCTTGCTGCCATGATGATTATGATGTACTATTGGAGGTTTTGGGAACCCTGGGCAAATGCTATGTTAGCAATCCTGTTGCCAAAACTCTGGTTTGGATTGAAAATCATGACTGGCACAAGTGTTTTTGCATGTCTTCCTGGGGCTCACCCTTATTGGACCCCAAAAAAGCTTCAAAACGAACAGTTTTACATAATAGATTGAATAAGGAAAAAACTCCTGGTCGATGTTGCCAATCTGGCTCCTTGCTGCCATGATGATTATGATGTACTATTGGAGGTTTTGGGAACCCTGGGCAAATGCTATGTTAGCAATCCTGTTGCCAAAACTCTGGTTTGGATTGAAAATCATGACTGGCACAACTGTTTTTGCATGTCTTCCTGGGGCTCACCCTTACTGGACCCAAAAAAGCTTCAAAACGAACAGTTTTACATAATAGATTGAATAAGGAAAAAACTCCTGGTCGATGTTGCCAATCTGGCTCCTTGCTGCCATGATGATTATGATGTACTATTGGAGGTTTTGGGAACCCTGGGCAAATGCTATGTTAGCAATCCTGTTGCCAAAACTCTGGTTTGGATTGAAAATCATGACTGGCACAACTGTTTTTGCATGTCTTCCTGGGGCTCACCCTTACTGGACCCAAAAAAGCTTCAAAACGAACAGTTTTACATAATAGATTGAATAAGGAAAAAACTCCTGGTCGATGTTGCCAATCTGGCTCCTTGCTGCTTACTGCTCCTTGCTGCTCCTTGCTGCTGCTTGCTGCTGCTTACCTGCTGCTTACCTGCTGCTGCTCACCTGCTGCTCACCCCGACTCGTTGCATTGGGATCACCACCCCGGGGAGATACACAGGGGAAACAAAAAACTAGCATAGCATTTCTGCCTTCCAGGATTCTAGCTAGGTCAGTCTCTTTCAGGTGCCAGGTTAGCACCCATCGCAGGTTTTTGATCTCCATTTCCTGGGGAATGCACAAATTATTCCCACAACGGCGCCGGATGCTATGTTAATGAGTTGGTGCCCAACGGGCCCAAAATCTACCTATCTCCTTTTCCCCAGGCCGCACAACGGTACCGGATGCTATGTTAATGAGCCGGTGCCAGAGCTGATCTATGCTATGTTAAATTTCGTGGGTGTATGCCAGATAGAATGCCAGATAATATGCCAGAAGATATGCCAGATAGAATGCCAGATAGAATGCCAGAAGATTTGCCAGATAGAATGCCAGAAAATATGCCAGAAGATATGCCAGATAGATATGTCAGAAGATATGCCAGAAGATATGCCAGAAGATATGCCAGAAGATATGTCAGAAGATATGCCAGAAGATAGATATGCCAGATAGAATGCCAGAAGATATGTCAGATAGATGCCAGAAGATATGCCAGATAGAATGCCAGATAGAATGCCAGAAGATTTGCCAGATAGAATGCCAGAAGATATGCCAGATCATATGCCAGAAGATATGCCAGATAGAATGTCAAATAGAATGTCAGAAGATATGTCAGATAGAATGCCAGAAGATTTGCCAGTAAGAAAATGTATAAATGTCATGGTGGGGATCACACGAAGTAAAGTAATTTTGATTGGTTATATAAATCATGTTACATTCCAGATGTTTAGTTGGTGAAACTCCATTCTTTCAAAAAGGGTCCCACTTATAAGTTGGGTGAAATTCCATGTGTCATAATCCCATCTATGGAAAAAAAAGTCCCCACGGTTATCCATATCTTAGCTGTCGCTGTCAACTACATCTTGTGTAAATCATATCTGAAAATCTCATTGTTGACGTTGATTAAATTCTACTTTCTGCTTCTGAAATCATTAAAATTGCTTAGACATCACAGCAATTTTGCTGAAATCACGATTTTCGCTGGGTAAATTGCTACTTAACTTGGGCAAATCACTATCTTTCCTGGATAAATCACTAGTTTTGCTGGTGATTTCTCCACCACTTAGGCCTCTCTACACCGAGCCCACGCGTCCGGCCAAAGCTGCCGGAACTGGGACGACTGGGACGACTAGCCTGGAAACTCAGTCGTTCGCCAGGATTTTTGAGTTTGACTGGGATTTCGGGGTGATTCGATGATTTCATGGTGATTGAAATGATGATTTCATGGTATTTCATAGTGATTTAGTAGGATTTAATGGTGATTTAATGAGGATTTTATTACATGATACAGACTTAATGGTGATTGAATGGGATTTTTTTAACCAAAAATGAGGATTTTCATGGGATTTACCATGTAGAATTCAGCACTTTGCTATGGAAAATTACCGTAGCTAGGTAGATCATCGTTTTTGTAATCTATTTCTATGGGTTTAACGTTCCATAGTTATGTTAAATAACCAGAGGGTAATGAACAGAAACCCACGGAAACCAAGAAACGAACCGATCTGTTTTTTTTTCAGGAATTTTATTCAGGGTTCTGAGACATGTGGATTTATATACCGTAAAATCATAAATATGCCATAAATAGCTTGGATGTAAAGTGTTTGTTTGCATCAAGAACGGTGATTCAAGAACAAGTTGTGATCTGACCAGCAAGAATTGTGACTTTTACGACAGAAAAGGATATTTTCAATCATCCAGAATAAGGATTGAACTATAGCCAGTGGCCAGAAATGGATTATATGATCGTTGTACATATAGTGTTTAGGTATCCCCCAAAAAAGATATGCAAGTGAATATGTTCAAAATAGTAGGGAATAACTTTTCTATCTTTATAGGAACCCCTACAAGCAGGGCACTTGTAACCAGTTGGTTGCATTTTTCATCCACAGGTAACAGGGATACATCAACAGTAGCTTCAGAACTTAAACCTGTTTATGTGCCTTTCCAACACATAAAGGTTCTAAGATGTTATAAGTTATATAAATGTATATATATACATACATAAATATTCGTCAAAGCAACATGTTCCTTTGGGTCAGGTGAAGCAACCGAAACACTTGTGGAATGTTTTGGGATGCCTTTCATTTTGGGCATCCCCCCCAAAAAAAGGAGAGATAGGGAGAGTGTTGCATGATGGGGCCACTAAGATATCATTAACTTGGTTTATGTTCAACCATCCAACTGTAGATACATCCACTTCACCATAAAACGTGTCTTCTTAAGCAGCAAAACAAAATCCCATTGCGGTGGGTTTTCGTGTCAGTAGCTGGTCCCCGAGAAGTAGTAGCTGGATGCTTCCTACACTCACCTTCCGGTGTCATCAAACATGACGTGCTGGAAAATCCTGGAAAATGAGTTGAAACAAATCCCCCAGCGAATGAGACCTCCATGGCTAGGCCGGCCGGAAGTTCCCAGGTACGATGGTCTTCAGCAGTCCACAAGCAGAGGCCGAAGCTGCACGAGCGCAGATGGTTGAGGCCCATGCCTGGGACATGGTGGGAAAATCCTGAGGATTCATGGTGGATTTTACCATTGGGATTTTCCATGGGATTTTCCATGGGATTTTCCATTGGATTTTCCATGGATCCATGGATTTTCCCATGGGATATGGAATTCATGGTGGATTTTCCCATTGGGATTTTCCATGGGATTTTCACTGGAGGCTAGAAAATCCGCCCACACCGCTTTGGCGGTGAAGGCGTGCTTATTGGGGGGCAACAGCAACACTAAATGCTCAATGACATTTGTTAATATAGCAGTCGCTATATCAGCTTTAGCTGGGGGGGGGGCCAAAAACGGTTTCGCACCGAGACCAGACCCCAAAAACGGTTTCGCACCGAGACCAGAATACGGTGGTGTTTTCGACATTTTTCGAGGATTTTTGGGTGTCTGAGCGCAAGAGGGTATTGAAATGGAATTTTGGGTCATTTTGGTAGCTTTCCGGCAATGGAAAAACGGCCAAAAATGAAAAAAACATTGTACATAGCAAGATTTTGCAGGGTTTTTGGATGCCAGAGCATTGAAAACACTGCAAAAACAAGTGTTTTGGACTGACGTTATAGCAAAAAACGTGTAAATTACCGTATGCTTGACTGGAAACATTACAAAAACACTGTCAAAAGCAATGTTTTGGAAGGATTTACTGCCTTTATGGCAAAAAACGTGTAAATTACCGTCTGTTTGACTGGAAACATTGAAACACTGTCAAAAACAATGTTTTGGAAGGATTTCTTATTGAAACTTCTTAGCTTGAAGAGCCCCCACGGGGGAAAACCACCCTTAGCCCCTCTCACGGACCGAATTAAACCTGCGGTGTGGGCGGCCACCCCACGCGAAGCGGGGTGAATTAGTGTCGGTCATACTTTCGATGCTTACTGGTTTAATGTTTGGACGCTGTAGCTGAAAATACGTATGTATCTGATGACCACATGGTATGATTTGATGGCGGAGCCACTTTCACATTTGAACCACGTTTGGTTTGTTTCCATGCCCAAATTTCAAATAATGTGACTCTACCCTGGAACATTGAATTTCACCAGCTGTCATGAATTTCCTCCCAAGGTGTTATCTATTTTACTTATCCCATAATTATCCACTATCCCACCATTATTCTATATGAATCCATATTCTCCGGTCAAAAATAACATTATAAATATGGATCATACTCCCAATCAATTGTCCCATGAAATTATCCCACTATTATCCAATATGAATCCATATGGTCCATATGGTTAATACCCTCTGGTAAACTAACATACTATTGAAACTGGCCATTCATATCCATTTATAAGTTGATTTACCTATCCAAAATGGTGATTTTCCATAGTTTTTTGTTAGTTTACCAGAGGGTACTCCCAATATTCAGATAATTATCCCATTATGCTCCCAATATTAATTCATATGGTTCATAATCCCCATACAAGCTGGTACCCCCCTAGTTCTAAGTTGGTTTATAATCACTAGAGATACAACCCACTAATCAACCCTAGATATTGGACGGATCTTCACCAACTTAGCTATCATAAATCAGCTATAAATCCCATTAAACCACATTTTCCTATGGTTTCCAAACGGCTTTCCTGAACGCGATTCCGTTTCCGGGGGCACCATGGTTTCACACCAAAAAGGCAGCCTCTTCAGCGCGGATCCGCTCGGATGCTCTGGACCTTCTCAGGTGGTGGGATGGCGGTGATTCCATCGCTTTCGCTGGATGGCTTTTGATGAAACCATCCGAAAACAACCATTTGGGGATTTTTGGGTGTTACCCTCTGGGATGATAACTAGGTGATAATTTGTTTTCAGAGGGTAACACAACAATTTTTGGGATGATAACTAGGGGTACCCTCTGGTGAACAGACAAAAAGCTATGGAAAGATCCACCATGCTATTCATGGGAAAATCCACTATAAATAGCCATTTTCCATTGCTATGTTAGTTCACCAGAGGGTACCACCATTTTTTTCGGAAACTTTTTTTTTTTAAATGTGTATAGGGGATCCCCAAGTCACTGTGGTTGTTAACCTAGACCAAGTCATGACTTGGATGATTTGGGGTTAGCCCTATGACTTAGGAAACATGCACATGTTCGTTCAAAGGATAGATAGAATGGTTCACTATGGGTTGTAACTATAAAAGGACTTGTAAAGCACAGATGTGAGGTCTATGGTAGATCAGATCCTGGTATATAATTCTAGCAAAATCTTACCCATATTCCAAGGCTGTTCATATTCCATGCCCAAATGGCTCCGGAAATTTGGAAAATAATGAACGACCTTTGATGATGAGAATAAGGTTCTGTGACCCTTGTCAGGCGCTCCCTTGTCACGTGCTGTCATGTCCAGTCGCACATGTTTAACCCCGCTGAGAACCTTCTCAAGCAATGATTTCTTGAATAAACATAATCATAAAGTCTTGTTTCTCTCATCAATCATCAGCTTCTCTCTAGGATCTTTTAAAACCATTGGATAAACTGTTCAGCTTATTTTTTGACGCGTTTGGCTGGCGGCTCAGCTTCCGCGTCTGTAAACGGGGCCAAGTCTGGATTACACTGTTCTTCCTCGAACCCAAATGGTACCATATTTCCACTTAATACAGTTACATTGAGTAGGATGCCACCCCTGGAGTACGATGCTCCCCCCGTATGCGTTGCCGTTCCTGCATGTGGGCTTCTCAGGCATATGTTAATATCATTTTTGATCAACTCGAGGCTGCAAATTCCATTCCACATACCTGCAAGGCATCACACTCTATCGCGCACGACCAAGACAACAATCGAGAATTTCCATAGCCTCCACGGGTCAAAAGTATCAAAATTTAATGGAATGCGATTGTATGTGCGACTGTTCAAAACGCTGGAAAAACAACAATTTCCCCCATATTCCATATTATCAGATTCCAGAGCATTTTACCTCCGAAGAGGAAAAAAAATAAAAAAAGCTCTTCAGGTCAATTTTTCGAAAAAAAAAGTTTTTGGCTGTCTGCGCAAGTTTTTCTGGTGTACGATCCCTTTTGTGGAGTACGATGATCTGTGAGTAGGTGTGTGGAGTGCGATGGGGTCCTCTGGGGTGCGATGACACCCCTCGAGTGCGATGCGACATGAGTATGCGCGGCCGGAAATCCCCTGAGAGAAGGATTCTGGGCCACAATTCCCCAAATTCAACAGAGTGGGCGGATGCTGGTTGTTGTAATTTAACAGGATTTCAGCCCACTCAACAAACAAGTCAAACAATATGTTGAAACCCTCTCCTTCTTCAGTCTCCAAAATGGGAAACTCACTTATCAGGACACGCTTTAGTTCATCCAGGCTCCATAGCATTTCAGGAACAACACAAGGCATCGACATGGTGCCAAACAATTTCCAAATTGAGCTGAAAGGTCTTCCCATCGCAACCAGTCAATTCACAGGTGTGAAACATGTCACACACAGGGAAACAGGTTGGGAAAACAGTGGGTCCAAAGAGACAGCTCTGGAGTACGATGGATTCATAGTATATGTGCATTTTCTGAATTTGGGTAACTTGGAGCTAGAATCATACATGTTTTATCTTCTACTGGTTATATATAATTATATATATACACAGGGGTCTATATATTATGATATTAACTATATCCAGCTATATCTATGCCTAGAACCCAACAAATCGCTGGACGATCACTGGATGTCCAGCTGCACCAGGGGTTTCTTGGACGCTGCTCCGCCACCAACAGCGCCCAACACGCCCTCTGGGTTCTTTTTGAAAGGTCCAGGAGCGAACCGTTGCCCTCAGGTCCAACATAGCGATGGAAAATGGCTCATTTGTAGATTATTTACAGTACCTGGTAATACCATGTAATACCTGATTTGCCTATTAAAACATGTGGTTTCTGTAGCTGTTAGATTACCAGAGGGTATTTTCATTAGCGAACGCAACTGTTGATGCTTAACTGCCATGTGCTGGTGAACTCATGACGCTCGTTGCTGGGATCCCACATGTTTCGTGGCAATTTTCATCTTATTGGTGCTTAGTAAGTAGGGTTGCTGGATGGGTTGCTGGGATGATGAAATTGATAGATTTGATACTTCGCCAGTGGATCATTCCCGAAAATTCCCGACGTAAGTAAGTAAAACGCACCAGTAAGTGATCCATTTTCGCTTATCAAAAACTCCCCAAATTGTGTTTTTCCAATCTTTGTGTCCTCTCCCAGAAAGTTGTCTCACTGTCTAAAACTGGAATCGCCAGGAGCGCCTTCCAAAGTCTTCTACCCCATCCCCAGCAAAACATCGCCTACGGGGATTGAGGTCAGGATTTTTTGAGCAGCGAAGTATGGGTAATATCTGGTAAACGTTTACAAAAAACGAACTGGAAAGATCCACCATGCTATGTAGCTGGGAAAATCCGCGAACTAAATCACCATTTTCAATAGCTATGTCAAATTACCAGAGGGTAATATCTCATAAATCCATGGGATATACTTGGGAGATATTTCACCAACTGAATCTGTGGGTGTGTGTGAAAACTGGTGCCTAACACCTTAGAGATTTGAGTGGCTAATGCAGGTTCCAAACCATGGGATTTTTGTGTTTATCCATGCGCAGCTTCATGAGGAAATCACCCAGAATTGTTCTGAACCCAGATTGGCAATGAGTTTCTAGATTGTCCGGCCATGGCACTATCCCATTTGCTGTTGCTAACTATGTCTCCATCTCACTTGTGCCAATTGGCTAAATCTCCGAAGAACGTCCCATAGTTTTTACTTGTAATGGCATTGTTTGTTCGTCGATCAATCCCTACGCAAGACTAACATTTGATTGATATTCCATCAGCATACCAATCCATCAACCATTGTCGAAAACCGTGGAAAAATCGATTCAAGATCCAGCAAAAATTGATCATACCATATCCACAAATTCTGATGGGTTCTTCCAACCCATTATTGGATATAATGAAACGGATGGTTTTGATCCATCATTGTTGAAGAAGATCAATAGTGGACTGGATATTTTCCAACTATCGATCCAATCATTACATTTTTCAACTATTCCATTCTTGGATACTTTTGAAAACTATTGGATATTGCACTATATTGATATTTCTATATGTGTTCCATTTTTTTACATACCACCATCATTTCCAACGATTTTCCACCGCTGCTGATGGTTGCTGAACTGAGGTGGTGCCAGATGTGGGTCCTCTGGGTGAACCAACACCTGAAGTCCCGGGTCTGGTGAGGGCCCAAGCAGAAAAAGAGCCTGTGAAGTCTAAAACATCCACATGTTTCATCGTGTTTCTACCCTCTGGTAAACTAAACTAACAGTTTGCTATTGAACATGGCCATAGAAATAGTTGATTTACCCATTAAGAATATTTAAGAATTGTGATTTTCCATAGTTACTGTATGTTCACCAGCCGGTAGATTTTTTTGGAAAGAAGCACTAAAAACATCTCCCTGTTCTGTGGTACCCCAGCGACACCAAGGCACCTGGCGCGAATACTCCTGGAGCATCTTGACGAAAATGTCTGATTCACCTTGGGATGTGTGGCCCAGTTTCCACTGATTCCACTGATCATTTGGAAGTCGATTTGATCATTTGATCATTTGGTGGTCCAATTCTTAATTTGGATTGCCATTTTACAAAACATGGTGAGCTAAGTTAGCTAATAACTTAGCTACATTTAGAAGTTGATCAATGATCCACCCAAAAATTGGGATTTAATCATCGCAAAACGGGAGAAATACCCCAGAATTTGTGTGACAATTTTGGCTGTGGAGTAACAAAAAACAAAGAATGTGGCAGATACATGTTGATGGATCTTTGGATCACTGGAAGAAGAAAGGTTACCTTCTATAACATTGTATACTGTGATTGGTGGTGTTTCCGGTTGATTTACCCACTTGCGATGATGAAAACTTCCAGCAAGCCATGAAAACTCGGGTGGCTCAACAGCAAGCCACGAGGTGAGGTGGTTCGAATTTGCGGCCATTTCCAGTATGAAAATCAAATAGCCTTTGTTAACCTAACGTAGTTATGGGACATGGCCCATTTATAGATGATTTACCTATTAACAATGGTGATTTTCCATGGTCATGTTAGTTTACTGGAGGGTATCAGGGTATCAAACCTGTTTTCTCTGAAGATTCTTGTTGGATCTCATATGGAAATGGACAATTTCAGAGCGATTTCATCATTCACCTTCTAGAAGCTAGCGGCATGGTGAAGATAGCAACACTCAATCAAAAGACATCCTTTTATTATCTTTTAAATTGATCCTTAGTGAAGCTAGGTTTTCCCAGCAAATCAATAGTAACATTTAGCCAACTCACTGGTGCGTTTTACGTAGGCTTGCTGGATATGGAGGAATGGGATGCACCAGTAAGTAAGAAATCCACCACTTAATCAATGGATTGGTTTAAGGGAAAATTTTAACCGGAAAGCCCCATTAATTTAATGGGAAAATCGATGGTTTCCGGTTTCGATTTTCCCTTAAACCCATCCATTGAGTTAAGTGTGGAGTAAATGGCTTCAAATTTCCCCCTTTCTCAGAGGGATGGCCCGAGCGGCTCTGTGTCGAAGCTCCAGGTGGCCAATGGACTTTGACCGTGGCACGGTGAAGGCTGTCTTTGGATATCACGAACTCATGGTACCTTTTGGCAGTACTGTTATTGCTGGTTATAAGTTAGTTAGATCCCACGATTGTTGGTTCGTGCCCAATTTTATCCAATTTTCTTGCTTTATCAGAGGGGATCTCCCGCATTGCTCTTGGTCGTACCCTCTGCATTTTTTTCTCCAAATCACTGGGTTTTTATGACCCCCCAAGAGAAATAAAGTAACATGCTACTCAGATTGTGGTAAAGTATATGGTCTATTTCCCCCTGACTGGACCTTCCCATGCCGAGATGCCGAGATTGGCGCTTCAGCGATGCCGCGATGCCTTCAGTTCAGCAGCCGTGTCCCAAAAGAAACGTGCTGAAAGTGTGAGAATTTGGGTGAAAGGGATTGATATTCTGAGGATTTCCGAGGATTTCTGAGGATTCGATGAATGATTCTATGGTCATCACTTTTGATGCCACGCCATGGCCGATTCTATGGTGTTGTTCATAGGGCCCCAATGGATTTGAGCACAAGATATTTCACCGTGATTTCCTACGCTTTCATTGTTCTGATTTTTATTGGAAACCCTGATATGCATGTATTATTGGGGTAAATGAGGTGAATCTCCGGGATATCCATTACGAGTTTCTCTCAAGATGAGGTCCCAACAGGTCCTATGTAGGAAGGCCCTCAAAAAAGAGAGAGCTGCAAACATCGAGACAAAATCTCATAGAATTCATAGCAACTAACGATAGCAGTCCAAGAGCTAAATTGGGCCAAAAAAAATCTGGATTTCGTCTTTACATGAAAAGTTTTTTTAATTTCGTTTCTGAAGCATTTCCAGCTTTCACCCGTTAAATTCGGGATTTCACCATTGGCCACACATGTGTGAAGCAGCATTTTGCCAGACAATCTGAAATTGCCCCCCTGGGACTCGTTTGACTCGTTTGGCATCCGTCCTTCCGTCCAGTCAAGTTGGTGATCATGAAACTAAGAGGCCAAAAAAAATAGCCCTCATTGGTGTTGGGTATGTACTGTAAGTTAGTTTATACATATATATATATATACTGTAATATATATATATATGGTATATAATGGTATATATATATATACAAAGCTATCTCTATACATATACATATATATATATATAGAATGTATATAGAGATTGTGTAGTCCATTGGTCCATCACATTCCACTGCGGCTGTTGCCCATACTTTTTCTGATTTGTTGTTGGCTTTATACTCATTTCTGCTGGTTGTATGTTCCATGTGTGTAGATACAGCACTTCCTGCAACTATTGTCAAACCATCAATTTTGAATATTCTTCGCACGTGGGACAAGCATGTTATACTAAAGAATGACGTAAACACTAATGTCAACCCCCCCAAAGAAATATTGCAGCTCCATTCCTTTCATGCGAAAAAAATGAAACACTTTGCCAGACTCGCCACACCATTGGAATGATAGATGTCCTTTTGCCACTAGTTGGTTTATTGATAAAGGGTCCCCTCGTAAACAAGCAATAGGTAAATGATAATGCATGGTATACCAAACCGGCTAAAATATTGTTTGCCAAAAGGACAATGTTGATTGGAACACAGGACGCCGCCGCAGTGAACAACGGCTCAGATCGGATTTTGTCAACTACCGATGTGGCATACAGGTTGATCCCTGTGACAGGACTGTAGGGAAGCTAAGGAGCTGACACTGTACATTGCGGCTGGTTTGGGGATCCCAAATTTTCTGTGGGTTTCTCTGCTTAGGCGCTCTCCGAAAATGTTGGGGAACACCCCCGTAAATTCACTGGTTAATTATCATTCTTTAGGTCACCCTGTTAAAATGCTTATTTGGAGGGACACATAATGACAACTACAACATTTTCAGACACACCCATAGCCAGATTTTGCCCCCCAAAGCCCACAGTTGGTGATTTTGTTCCAGTTGGGGATGATTTTCTTGGATTTGCTGAAGATTTTTCTCTTTTGCCAATGGAAAATCCACTACTTGGGGAGTCTATCGTTTTTTTTTGGGGGGGTCCTTAAGCAAATCCAAGCCTACATTTACCCTCTCTAATCCCAAACTACCAATGTTTTGATACGGCGTTGGAGACCCCATTGGCTTCCCTGGAGTGATTAAAACAATTATCAGGAGATATTTGGGACATCTCAGAATTCATCAAACATAACGGGTTGTCAAACTTTGTTTCCATTTTCTGTTCAAGACCCAAGATGGATCCCGATATGGCAAATCTCGAACGTGTCCTCATGTAAAACCATGCGATTCTTGGTTGAAACATGTTGAAACCCATGATTCCCAAAATTCGGCGGGGCGGAATTCCCCCAAATTCCAACAGAACCTTTGGTTAACTTGGCAAGGGAAAGGCCATCATTTAGTGTAAGGATCTTCCCATTAGAACCTCCACTTAGTGAATTTCCCTGGAGGGCCATTTATTTAGGGATTTTTTTTTTTTAGTTTAGGGATTTTTCTTTGGATTTCTTCCTGCTTACTCTATTGCCTCCTGCAGTGCTTCTCTGCTTCTTTGCTTCTATTCCTTTTTTTGTTTTTTTTGCTTTTCTTTGCTTTTTTGCTTTTTTGCTTCCCTTGCTTTTCTTTGCTTTTTTGCTTTTTTGCGCTTTTCTGCTTTTCTTTGCTTTTTTGCTTTTCTTGCTTTTCTTTGCTTTTTTGCTTTTTTGCTTTCCTTGCTTTTCTTTGCTTTTTTGCTTTTCTCGCTTTTCTGCTTTTCTTTGCTTTTTTGCTTTTCTTGCTTTTCTTTGCTTTTTTGCTTTTTTGCTTTTCTTTGCTTTTTTGCTTTTCCATGAGGTGTGGAGCAACATCTTCTATCCATCTATATCCATCTATATCTATCTATATCTATCTATATCTACGTATCTATATCTATCTATGTCTATCTATATCTGTATCTATATCTACATCTATGGCTGTATCTATATATCTATATACCTATATATATATATCATATATCTATATAATTATCTATATATCTATATATCTATATATATATCTCTATATATCTATATATCTCTATATATCTATATATATATCTCTATATATCTCTATATATATCTATATATTTCTATATATCTCTATATATATCTATATCTAGATATCTATATACATATATATCTATCTATCTATATATCTATCTACCTATCTATCTATATATCTATCTACCTATCTATCTATCTATCTATCTAATTATCTATCTATCTATCTGTCTGTCTGTCTGTCTATCTATCTATCTATCTATCTATCTATATTTCTATATGTATATATACATATATTTTTATATCTATATATCTTTAAATATATATATATATCTATTTATCTATATATCTATATCTATATATATATATATATCTGTATATATATATATATATATCTACCTAAAAGGTTTGCATTATCATGCGGATGATATTCAAACCCCAAGCCAACCCTGAACCAAACCTTATATAAATAGATCTTAAACCAACTCGATGATAACATCAAATGAAACTATTGTGCATCGTTGTGCCTTAACCTACATTCCACATGTTTCCAAGGTGCATGTCGTGTAGTATATACACCTTGAGTATCACATTCAACCTAGCACCTTGCATGTGAAAATAGGTGTTTCCAATCTGCTTTGGGGGGGAGGCGCTGCGCCGTCCCCCCCAATCCCCCCCTCCCGCTTTTTTTTATTTAAATTCAAGCTTGCACACATTTCAATACACTACTTTGGTTAGAATATATATATATACATTGTATATATATATATATGCACCAGGCCCTGCCACCCCCCCCCCTCCCCCCCCCATATGGGATGGGTCCCATATACTGGTCCCATATGAGATCTTCCCCCTCCCCCCCCTGTGGTGGGTGGGGGTGTGGCACTGTCCCCCTCCCCCCCCTGTGGTGTGGTGGATGGGTCCCATATACTGGTCCCATATGAGATCTTCCCCCTCCCCCCCCTGTGGTGTGGTGGGGGTGTGGCACTGTCCCCCTCCCCCCCCTGTGGTGTGGTGGATGGGTCCCATATACTGGTCCCATATGAGATCTTCCCCCTCCCCCCCCTGTGGTGTGGTGGGGGTGTGGCACTGTCCCCCTCCCCCCCCTGTGGTGTGGTGGGGGTGTGGTATGGTATGGTGGGTATGTATGGTGTGTATGGTCGGTCTGGTATGGCATGTTTGGAAAGTATGGTATGTTTGGTATGTATGGTAGGTATGGTATGTATGGCATGAGTGGTTGGTATTGTATGGATGGTAGGTATGGTATGTAAGTCTGTTGGATATGGTATGTTTGATATGACAGTATGTATGGTCTGTATGGTATGTATGGTTACTATGATGGGTATGGAATATGTCCTATCTAAGGTAGGTATGGTATGTATGGCATGTATGCTTGCTATTGTATGTATGCTATTGTATGTATGGTAGGTGTGGTAATTACATTTCATATGTATGGTATGTATGGTATGTATGATAGATATGATAGGTATGGTATGCATGGCATCATTGACATGTATGGTAGGTACGGTATATGTTCAACAGAGGTAGTGTTGTCAGAGTACACAGGTAGTAAACAGGAAGTAGATACAGTAGATACATAGCACATGTATGTATGACTATAGGTAGCACGTAGGTACTTTGAAGGAGTATGTGTGCATGGTAGGTCGCCTAAAAGGTAGCATGTACCTAGTAAATGCGAGGCTGGTAGTCAGAAATGCTGCAAAGACCTAGCAAATACGACGCTGGACCTCAGAAATGCTGCCAATAGCTTGCAAATAGAAGGGAATTGGGGCTACTACCTGGGGACCCAACCCATGGGGGGGGGGGTGTGGAGAGACGGAGGACGGGACCATATATATTGTATGTATATATATATATATTGTATATATATATATTGTATATATATATATATATTGTATATATATATATTGTATATATATATATATTGTATATATATATATTGTATATATATATATTGTATATATATATATAACAACACTAACAACACTAACAACACTAACACTAGCAACACTAACAACACTAACAACACTAACGGTAACAACACAACAACAACAACAACAACACCAACAACAACAACAACACCAACACCAACAACAGTAACAGTAACAACAAACAACTGTTGGAATGTCAGCCTTCAGCTCCAAAATCCTGCAAGTACTGTGAGGAATGTAGCTGTAAAATGTTGCACATACGGTGGAAATGCAGATTCCAGCTCAAAAATGCTGCAAAGAGCATGGAAAATGGACAGAACATGCTGCAAACTGTTGCAAATACCGTGGAAAATACAATGGAAAATGAGAGGTTCGAACTCAAAACCGTTGCACATACCGTGGAAATGGCAGTTTCCAGCTCCAA